CAGTTTTGTTTTTGCTTTATTTTTAATAGCTTTATTAAGGCATCATTTAAATGCAATAAATTCACTAAGTATATAGTTGGTGAATTTTGGTAATTGTATGCAATCATGTAACCTTTATCCCAATCAAGATATAGAATATTTCCATCACCTTGAGAATTTTATTTGTGATACTCTATGCCCTCAGTCTGCAGTCTCCAACCCCAGTCCTCGACAAGTACTAATCTGTTTTCTGTCACTATAATTTTGCCTTTCCTAGAACTTCATACAAATTGAATCACAGAGCATATGGTCTTTTGTGTTTAACTCCTTTCACTCCACATGTCTTTAAGATTTATCTATGTTGTGTGTGCTATATATAATAAGCCTTGAAATCAGAGAGTATATCCTTGTCCTATTTAAGGATGGGTTTGGGTATTCCAGGTCCTTCACCTTTCTTTGAATTTGCCTCTTCAAAGGCCTGCAGAGATTTCTGTTAGAATCTGTAGATATATTGGGAAGAACTGGCATCTTAACAGTAATGAGTTTTTCAGTCTGTGAACATGGTATTATTTTCCATATATTTTGGTCTAATTTAATTTTCTTTTGCAGTGCTTTATAGTTTTCAGCATACAGATCCTGCACATCTTTCATTAAATTGAACCCAAAATTTTTTTATGTTACTGTAAATGAATTTGTAGTCTGTGACCTGATTTCACTTATTAATAGTTTTGTAGCCTTCATAGGATTACTCATTTCTGGTTATAAGATCATGTTATTAGTACATAAAGACCACTTTTCTCCTCTCTTTCCAATCTCTATGCCTTCCCTTTTTCATGTGTTATTACTATGATTGTACCCTTCAGTGTATACTGAATTGAAATGGTAAAAGCAGAAATCCTTCTTTGTTTCTGATCTTAGGTAGAAAACATTGACTATTATGTTACCTATAGATTTTTGTAGACGCCCATAATCAGGTTTAAGAGTCCCCTTGTATTTTTAGTTTGTTTGGGACTTTTATCATGAATGGATTTTGGGGTGTTTTTTTTTTTCTTTTTTTGTTTTGTTTGTATTTTCTTAATATGGTAAATTATGTTGATTGATTCTCAGCTGCTTAAATCGAACTTAAATTCCTGGATATCAGCTCCACTTGCTTTTGATTATTGTCCTTTTTATACATTGTTAGGTTAAATTCCCTAAAAAATTTTTTAGGAAATTTTGCTTCTGTTTGAACATTAGAAATATTAGTCTGTAGTTCTGCTTTCTTGTTTTTTGTGTTTGTCTGGGTTTGGGAATTAGGGGATAGGATTGGCCCTAACACATAATTTGGGAAGATTCCGATAAGGTTGCTACTGTTTCTTCCTTGAGAATTCATCAAAGAAGCAGTCTAGACCTAGAGTCCGGGGGTTAGAGGAAAGAGGGATGGGGGAATTATAAATTTGATATAAATAGTAGATATGGCATTATCCAAAATTTCTGTCTTCTGGGGTATCTTTTGAGGGAATTTTTCCAGTGCATCTAAATTGTCAAGTGGTTTGGCATAAAATAGTCCAAAAATGGCCTTATTCTCTTACTGTCTGTAGATTTTGTAGTGATAGTCCCTCTTATTTGATTTTGGTAATGTGTCTTTTGTTTCTTCATGAGTCTGGCCTAGAGGCTTATCACTTTTATTACTTCATTAATCAGCTCTCATGATTGATTTCTCTGTTTTTGTATTTCATTAATTTCTGCTCTTTATTCTTTCCTTCTATTTTGAGATTTCTGATTTGGTGTAGGACTTAAGATCACCAATTTTGGATTTTTTGCCACTAGCATAAGCACTGAAAGTAGTAAACACAGCTTTAGTTACATCCTACAGATTTTAATAATGTGTTTTCATCATTCCATTCAGAATGTTTTTTAATTTTTCTTGATTCCTTCTTTGGCCATGAATTATATAGAAACATATTGTTTTACTTTCTAAATATTTGGGATTTTCCTAGTTATTGTTAGTTGATTTCTAATTCAATTCCATTCAGAAAACGTATCTTGAATTTCAGTCTTTTAATTTTATTGACACTTACTTCATGACCTAGCACATCCTGGTGAACTTACTGTGTGCACTTGAATGTTTATTTGTCATTACTAGGCATCATGTTCTTTTTTTTTTTTTTTTTTTTTTATTTATTTGACAGAGATCACAAGTAGGCAGAGAGGCAGGCAGAGAGAGAGGGAAGGGAAGCAGGCTTCCTGCCAAGCAGAGAGCCCGATGCGGGGCTCGATCCCAGGACCCTGGAACATAACCTGAGCCGAAGGCAGAGGCTTTAACCCACTGAGCCACCCAAGCGCCCCTCACGTTCTTTTAAATGTCACATATATCAGGAATGATAATGTTCAGAATATCTTGTCTTTCCTTATTTTTTTCTGGTTATATGGGTTGCTGAGAGAAGGGTGGAGAAACAAGCTAACCCTCTAATGGCAGGTTGCTTAAAGGAATCATTGCAGAGGGCCATGCATACGATGAGGATAGTAATTTGTGACCATATTTTATAACCTACCACAGGATTCATTTTACCTCTTCTCTGTTTTTGTATATATTTTAAATTTTCCATAATAAAAATTTCAAAACCAAAACCTCTCAGGTAATGAGGTGTCCCTTATTTCGGGGTTGGGGGGGTACATGCCACATGCAGATATATAAAAAATATTTAGGATTTTTATTTTCACCTCATCATTTAAAGAATTGTATTTTGGCATATGTTTTAGAGTTGCATGATATATCCAGTAGTCATATATATAATTTTAAAATACAGATACCTGTGTATGGAGGGGAATTTTTTATTTTTGGCTATTCTTGTTTAAAAATAGTTCATCCCAATGGAGATACCAGTCTTGTTCCAGAAGTCATGGTATCATTTGGATAGTCTTGTAAACTTTATCATAAATTTGACATTAAAAGTTTTTGTGTGATACTCATTTTTTTTTAAATATTTATTTATTTGAGAGAAAGAGATAGTGACAGAGGTAGCAAGAGAGAGCACAAGCAGGGAGGAGAGGGAGAAGCAGGCTCCCGCTTAGCAAGGAGCCTGACATGGGGCTCGATCCCAGGACCCTGGGATCGTGACCTGAGCTGAAGACAGTCACTTAACCAACGAAGCCACCCAGGCGCCCTGTGTGATACTCATTTTTAAGTGTTATCTCGGGTTTTTAATTATGAAGTGTTTTTATACTCTTAAAACTTTTGCTGTCAGAACTTAAATTTTTAAGTTTCTGTTTCAGAGAAGGCTGTACCTATAATCCCAAAATTAGATAGGTCAGCACTGTGAGTTTAGAAGGAAACAAAACAATTTTAACAAGAGGCAAAAGAAATGGTGTCTTAAGTTTGGTTCCCTGTGTAAGTTATGAAATCAATAGCATTTAGTATTAATCAGTAGTAAAAAAGGGGGCAGGCAGTAATGTATTATCTACCCTTACTGTTTCTCCTGAAAACCTTAACCTTTTCCATCTGGAATGTTTACTTCAAGAATCATTTGAAATAAGAAAAGCAAAGGGAATAGTATGATTGGTATATAGAAAATAAAGTAAGTCATTTACATAAAACCTGTACAAGCCTCAATTCCCTTCTCAGCCCTATCCACCCAACTTCTATTCCATGTTAAGAACAAGGAGTAAATCACAAAAAATACATTCCAAGTGTTAGTTTTTAAAATTTACAGTTCTCAGATTCAATTTCCTTTTTTGCCCATCTGGTACTGTTAACTTTCTCATATTAGAAAATGTTACGTTGTAAGTTTTATCTTTGGCATTTTGTATGTTAAGAATATATTTATGTTTGTGGATTTGAAAGAATGTATTCTTAAGGGCTTTTTTAAAGTGAAAACCACTATTAACATTATATGGTGATTATTTACTATATCATAAGGCAAGGCTGGACAGAGGTTTTTTAGAGGTTTAAATACGTATGTTTTTTAGAAGGGTTTTTTGTTTGTAAACCTTTAGATAATCAAAAACTTGACTACATTTCCCATTTCTTGAGTATAATGTGATTAAGATTTTCCTTAATCTAAAAGCAACTTTACAAAATCTAGTAACATCCATATTAAAAAATAATTTCTAGTTAGGTCTCTTCTACTGGCCAACACCATTAGGTAGGAGAATAAAAATATCTGGCTTTTAAAAGTAGGGTTTCTTTATTAAAGCAATACAAACTGTGATATATTAGGATATTAGCAAGTTATTTGAAGGAGTCCCTCATGAGATCTCTTAAAGACCAGAACTAAGAAACATGGGCTGAATGATAATACAATTAGACTGATTTGTAATTTGTTTAACTCAATAAACACAGATTGAATTCTTGTCATCAAGAAGGATGTAGCATTCAATCCGTTTTTTTTAATCAGTAATTTAAATGAGGACATAACATGTTGTGTTGTCTTTTTAGTTCACAGGCGATGTGAATCTGGGACACATATTTTGATAAATTAGGTTATATTTGTTTAGAAAACAAAATGATCTAGATGAGTTATAGAAGGATATCTCAATAAGATACCTGTTAATAAAACAAATGTAAACTCTTTTACTTTGCCCCCCAAAGATAATTTAACAATACATCATAAAAAAGAAAATATTTCCTATTATATTTCAAAAAAGCAAGACTCAGAATTATATTCACAATGATATCTTAATTTTGTGTTAAAATACATATATTAGGAGGTATAATATACAGCAGTTCCGGATGATATGATTAGGAGTGTTTTCTTTTCATTTTGCCTCTCTATTTCCAAATATTCTACAGTAAGAATGGATCTTAAATAAGACACACTGAAGATAAGAAAGTATTTAATGTTTTTGAACCCCAGTTTGTAGTCTGAGCAAATGTTAACTTATATTGTCACGGTGAAAATCTCCCCCTCTTTTATTTGTCTGTAAAAATAGTCACCATGGCACAAAAGTCAGCATCAGCTACAGTGTTCTCAGTGAGCTCTTTTCTCACTCCCCTACCATGAACCCATTGACTGTTTGCATTTTTTTTCTCTTTATCAAAGGTTGAATTAATAAAGGGGAATTTACAGAGTGTTGGACTTACACTTCGTCTTGTCCAGTCAACTGACGGGTACGCTGGGCATGTCATAATTGAGACGGTGGCCCCAAACTCGCCTGCTGCACTTGCAGATCTTCAGCGGGGAGACCGACTGATTGCTATTGGAGGTAATTATGCAACACACTTCACACTTACAGAGAAATCAGTGAGCAAATGTGGGAATTTTCCCTGTCTTCATTCTTTCTATGAGCACATGTTACTTTTATAATGGAAAGAGAATAACTTTATTAAAAATAAAAATCTGAAGGAAGCCTTAATTTAAAACACATATGCCGGGGCGCCTGGGTGGCTCAGTGGGTTAAAGCCTCTGCCTTCTGCTCAGGTCATGATTTCAGGGTCCTGGGATCGAGCCCTGCATCGGACTCTCTGCTCAGCAGGGAGCCTGCTTCCCCCTCTCTCTCTGCCTGCCTCTCTGCCTACTTGTGATCTCTGTCTGTCAAATAAATAAATAAAATCTTTAAAAAACAAAACAAAGCAAAAAAAAACCACATATGCCATTTTTAGTCCTTAGGTATAAATCTGTAAAATACTTAATCTTTATACCACTCTTCTGTAAACTTCTCTAATTTTCCTTTCCATCCCACCTTCTACTCCTCTAGTGTTTAGTGAATATGAATATGGTCAACAGTTCCTTCTGTATAACCACCTAACTACTCTGGGCCTAAAATTGACCGTATTAGTACTATGACTCCCATCACTTAGGACTAGATAATGAACAGGAGGGAGACTAATATTCCTTGTCCAAGAGGGCACACGTGAACTGTCTGTAGCCCCGTATTGATGGCTCTGTATTGTCCCTGATTGACCAGCCATTTGGCAATATGCAGTCATTAGAGTACAGCCCATATCACTATTGCTCTGGAAGAATGTGTCACCTGCATGCCTTCCTATCAGTTGTATAGATTACATAAATTCTGTTGATAGGCAGGTTATTTGCTTGGATGTTTATGAATAAGCAGTAGGACTCCCTGTACACACCAATGGGGTAAAAGTCCAAACCTTTCAGACCTTTGTAGAACCTGCCCCGCCATCCCACCCGCCATTCTAGGCTTGTCAAGAGATTTCTTAAACATGTGGTTGGTCACAGCCGAGCTTCCAGAAACAATATGGTATATTCTTTCACAGCTAAGATAATAAAGAAGGTAGATCAGTTCCTAAAGCAGAGAGTTTTCCTTTGTTACATGTTAAACCTTTGATTCAAAACCATCATGACAGTAAAATAATGGCAATCATTTAGTTGCACACCTGGAAACTCAACAAAGTCCATATTTCACATGGAAATCCCTTTGGTAGGTCATAAATAGTGATTCTCAAACCTTTTGACTGTATTCCAGTCATCCAGGCTTGGTGTTAAAATAGGGATTCTACTTCAGCAGACCTGTACAGGGGTCCAAGATTTTGCATTTCTCAGAAGCCCCCAGATGCTGCTGCTCTTCATAGGCACTGAGGATGGCAGAGCCATAAAACAGACTCCCACTGTTACATAGTTGTTTAAAATAAACACAGCAGTTACTCCCCCTCAGCTAAAAACTAGAATTTGGTATAAATTCTTTATATTCACTTATCCCTTTGTTCTGGTTTTACCTACAAGATATATTTTCTTTTTTATGACCATTTATGAAAGGGTTTTTTTTTGTTTGTTTTTAGTTACACATGTAGTAAATATTCTCCAAAATAAATATCTGTTCTCAAAAAGAAAGCAATAAAAATGTGTACAGAGTGGAAAAACTAAAGGTCACCCCTTTATAGCTAAAATTTATAAAAACAAAATATTTACTGAGATAAGAAGCAGGTATAATATTTTCTATACCTATAATTTGTTCGTACCGGTATATAATTTTTTGAATATTTAGTAATGGGATTGGTGGTAGTCGAAATAAGATCGGCATAGTGCTTATTATATTTGAAGCCCAATGATGGAATTCACCTTTCTTCTGTTTCCTCTATTTGTGAATATATTTGTAAAATTGCAAAAGAAAAGGAACCCAGATTTGGCCAGCTAGTCCTGAGAGGAGCAGTGGTTGTCTCCACAAAGCTCCTGGTGGTTGGGGAAGAGATGAGGCCAGGTGTTAAGTCACAAAGAACGAGTTTAGATTAAGTTGAAGTTTTCCTTCAGCTCAGTAGAGGGACTTACTTTTCATTGTACATATGTAGACTACAATTTTGTGGAACTAGAGAGAAAGAGCAGGCTGGATGAATCTTGGAGAGAGCCACATTAGAAACTCTGGATTCCAGTGTGATGAGTTTGTACACTAAAGGTTTTCAAGCCAAAGCTTTGGGGAAATTGGGGAGCAGTATGAAAACAGGGACAGTCTGAGGGGTCACAGCAAGGAGCTGTGGATTCTTGTAACCGAAGCCAGTGATCAGGTGGATCTGAACAGGGGAGGAAAAGGACTAGAACGCTGACAGAACTAAGAACTCCTGGGATCTGGGGGGTCATCTGTCTCTGGGGTCCGGATTGGGTTAATTGGGAGGGTGGCAAGTTGATTCACATCCTGAGGACAGGAGAATGAGAAGATCAGAGAAGGGATTTTAACTAAGCTGAATTTGTTACGTCGAGGAAGCATCTGGGTGCTGATCTCCGGAAGTAATCAGGGATGTAGGAAAAGGATGAAGAAGAGGGGAGACCAACCAAAGAAAAAGTTGACAGTTGCAACCACTGAGATGGTTGTGATCTAGAGAACTAGGACATATAAAACCATGGGGACATTTGGTACAAGGGGCAGATATGGATGGAGAAAAAGAAAGCAGAGGTGGTCAGAACCAAATTAGCATAGTGATGTGGAAACCAAGAAAAAGGTTTTAAAGGAGAAGAAGGAAGGGAATAAAGATATGAGCCAGGATAGCTGATGGAGCAAAGCCCTGAGGGAAGTGGGGAATAGGATCCAAAGTACAAGTAAAGGGCTACTTTGTCCTCAGAGATAGATTCATACTAAAAATGACTGGCTAGGAGAAAAGGCGGCTGCTTGTTGATCTCCAGTAAATAAGGAGAGATCCCCTGCAGAATAAAAGATGGTAGGGAGGGTGGGATTCAGGGTTTGAAGGTGGTGGGCCCAAGGAAGGTGGGGCTGGCAAGCTGGGGTCAGAAAGCCAGGTAGGCAGAAGAGGAAAGGACTAGGGCAAAAGAATCCCAAATCTTGATGAGGACATCAGTGAAATCTTGAGACTAAGGTTGGGGAGAAAAGCAAGTGGTGTCAGGAGACCAGTTGGACAGGACAGCAAAGGAGGAATGATTGAGTCTGGACATCACCTCAGAACAGATTCAGTAACAGACAGCATTGTAATGAGGAGGTGCGAAATAGGAGGTTGTGAGCAGAGATTAATTGCAAGTGAAAGACCTTTGATGTGGAAAATTCCAAGTGATAATAGGGTCTAAAGCATGATCTTTCCTGGGCAACTGAGGTAGGAGGGGATATAGGTTGAGGAACTCTGAAGTCAGGTTGTTAGATGGGGCTGACGTTACTCTGATTTATTTAGGATGGCCCTAAGACCTTTGGAAAACATAGACCCCTTCTCACCTTTTTCTAAGTCCTACAGAAAGGTCTAGCTTGGGTAAGTACCACTGGGGGAAGGGCGGGGGGAGGGCAGGAAACAAACATCTAAACATCTTTAGAGCCTTTAAAGATAACACCTAGAGTATCTCTAGAAGACTCCACCATGAAGCTGCTAGCTTTGATTGCCTCAGGGAAGGGACAGAGTGGTTGGGAAATACAGGTGGAAGGGAGATTTTTCACTCTACATTTTTCTCCACCTTTTGAATTTCAAACTGTGTTAATGTAGCCACCTATTAGAACATAATAAAATGAAAATTTAAGCTGATATTATCAATGCGGATAGTAACCAACTTGTTTAAAGCAATTTATGCTTTCCTTGTTCTTTCTGGTCCTGATAAAAAGATTAGTTTGATGGGTAGGGCTAATAAAAAGAATATGGAAAAGAGTCCGTTATTCATAATAACAGTATTTTGCGAAGTTTACTTCAAGCATTGTGTCTCTGAACTTGATCATTCACCCCATTTCTGTTTTGCTTTTCCATAATCGTGAACTAATGGCAGTTACATCCAGCAAACTTAAGTGATTTTCACTGCAGCAATTTACATGTTTTCTCTTTTAAAATCTCACACCAGGCGTGAAAATCACATCTACCCTGCAAGTGCTGAAGCTGATCAAGCAGGCGGGGGACCGGGTGCTGGTGCACTACGAGAGGCCTGTAGGCCAGAGCAGTCAAGGCGCAGCGCTGCAAGATAATTTGGGGCAGTTGGAAGAAAACTTTCTGTCAAGCTCATGCCAACCAAACTATGAAGAGGAAACCACTGGGCTGGCAGTAGATGCTGAAAATAGAGACTTGGATTCTGAATTTGAAGACCTGGCAAGTGACGTCAGAGCACAGAATGAGCTCAAAGACGAGGCTCCATCAGTAAGTCACAGCCCCAAACGTACTCCGACAACACTTTCCGTTAAACCCCTTGGAACCATATCACCAGTCTTAAACCGTAAATTAATTGCAGGAAGTCACCCACCACCACCAAAACCTCCATGTAAAGAGGGAAATAAACCCTTGGCCCTAAAAGCTTCTGAAATAACAGACCCAACACAAATGTCAAAACCCACCCAAGGATCCACTTTCAAACCACCCGTGCCACCACGACCACAAGTGAAAGTTCCTTTGCCTTCTGCTGACACCCCAAGTCAGACAGAATCAGAGGTCCTCCCTGAAAAGCCAGAAAAGGTGCTGCCTCCTCCTCCTGCAGATAAACCTGCTGAAAAGCAAGCGAAAAATGTGGATCACCCAGAAGATGTAGCTCCATCTAAGCCATTTTTAGCAAAGCAAGAAGTGACGAGAGATTTTACTTCAGAAAGCTCCTGCCCTCCTAAGGACAGTTCAGATGACCTTCAGACGTGGGAATCATCGGAAATTCCTTACCGTAACAAGCTAGGAAAATGGACAAGAACCAGAGCAACCTGTTTCTTTGACATAGAAGCCTGCCACAGATACTTAAACATTGCACTATGGTGCAGAGATCCTTTCAAGTTAGGGGGTCTTATCTGTTTGGGGCATGTCAGCTTAAAACTTGAAGAGGTGGCTTTGGGGTGCCTGGCTACATCAAACATGGAATACTTCTCCAAGTTCAGACTGGAAGCCCCCTCACCTAAGGCAATGGTTTCGAGAACCGCGCTGCGCAATCTGAGTATGCAGAAGGGCTTCAATGACAAATTTTGCTTTGGTGACATTACCATTCACTTCAAATACCTGAAAGAAGGAGAACCAGACCACCCGGTAGTTACTAACTCAGAGAAAGAAAAAGAACTCCATTTGGTCGAAGAGGTTTCTGCCCTACCTAAAGAGGAGCAGCTGGTTGGACAGATGGGTTTAACAGAAAATAAGCATAGTTTCCAGGATACTCAGTTCCAGAACCCAACTTGGTGTGATTACTGTAAGAAAAAAGTGTGGACTAAAGCTGCTTCCCAGTGTATGTTCTGTGCTTACGTTTGCCATAAAAAATGTCAGGAAAAGTGTCTAGCGGAGACGCCTCTTTGTGGAGCAACTGATAGGCGGATAGACCGGACTCTGAAAAACCTCAGGCTGGAAGGACAAGAAACCTTCTTAGGCCTGCCTCCTCGTGTTGATGCTGAAGCTAGCAAGTCAGTCAACAAAACAACAGGTTTGACAAGACACATTATCAATACGAGCTCTCGTTTGTTAAATTTGCGCCAAGTCTCTAAAACTCGCCTCTCTGAACCAGGAACTGATCTAGTGGAACCTTCACCAAAACACACACCCAACACATCAGACAATGAAGGCAGTGACACAGAGGTCTGTGGTCCGAACAGTCCTTCTAAACGAGGAAACAACACGGGAATAAAGTTGGTGAGGAAGGAGGGTGGTCTGGACGACAGCGTTTTCATTGCAGTTAAAGAAATAGGCCGGGATCTTTACAGGGGCTTGCCTACAGAAGAGAGGATCCAGAAATTAGAGTTCATGCTGGATAAACTGCAGAACGAAATTGACCAGGAGCTGGAACACAACAATTCCCTTGTTAGAGAAGAAAAAGAAGCAACTGAATCAAGGAAAAAATCCCTTCTTTCTGCTGCTTTGTCTAAATCAGGTGAAAGACTACAAGCTCTAACACTTCTCATGATCCACTACAGAGCGGGCATTGAAGATCTTGAATCTTTAGAAAGTCTGTCTTTAGACCAGCACTCCAAAAAAATGAGCAAGTACACAGAGGATGCGGAAGAAGACCTTGATAATGAAATCACCCAACTAATAGACTCCCAGCCATTCAGCAGCATATCAGAGGACTTATTTGGCCCATCTGAGTCTGTTTAACAGACAGCCCGTTTGAACTTTTCGAGAGATTTGGAAAAGTCGCACCCCGAGGAGCACAGATAACCCGTGTGTAAGCCCTTTTCTGACGCACTTCGGCCTGCTTCTCCGCAGCCACTTGCTTATGTAAAAACCGGAGTGAAAAAAGGTGGTTTTCCAGCAAAAACACGACCAGCTCACTAAATTGGTTGTTTTCAGATTGCATTTATAGCTATGCTTTTTTGGGTTTATACTGGGAATTTATTTTTACTAATTTATTTTTAACTTTTTCTAATTATGTAATTATGTAAGCTAACTTTCCGTGTTTACGTACATGTGAGATCTCATCGTGTTATTTTCCTTCATCTTAGTTTTTGAAGGAGTGTTAAATAGGATACCGTCCGGATCCTTGAAATATGTTCATTTCCATCACGGTTACAACAAGTTTGCTGCATGCCCAGATTGACAACAGCAATCATTGAGGGAACAGGTTTTCGAATCTTTGTGTTAGGAAATTTGTCATCTCTATTTGCTTGAAGTTTTTGTTCATTTGGGGTTTCTGGGATGGTTTTTTGTTTTTGCCAAATGTAACGTAAAAGCAGATGCTGCGCCTTTAGTCAGTTACACTGATTTAGTAAAAAAAACAATAATAATAATTTACGCATATTGCTTGCTTTCTATCCTGTGAATTTTTTTTCTAGTTTTTGTGCAGTTTTAGTGAGAATATAGTTATTAATTTGAAGAGGTTGCATTGAAAAACAAAATGTAGTAGGGAATAGAGAATGCATTTGGTCAAGAATTTTGTAGAGAAGATTACTAAAAAACCAGTAAACAGTAGGATTTTGAAATATAATCTTTTGAAATGTTGATGCTTTCTCCTTTCAAATGGAAGTTCTGAACATTTGATTTTTTTTTTATTTTATTTATTTATTTTTTTTGTCTTCGGTTCTCCCATAGGGAATAAAGCATGTCAAGGATAAAGTTTCAAGGGGCCAGTTCTTAAAATGACCCAGTGTTGATAACTGGGATTGGCTGTTTTGTTTTAGGAACATTTTCATGCAGGAGAATGCTGTAGAGGAAAGGAATCATGCAAGATAGATTTATTGCTTTTCCTCCATGCTGCAGGTTGAAGGAAGGGTGGTCATTCTGAACCCATTTATAGTTCAGTCTTTAAGAAAAAAGAAAAATTAACAGTAAAGATACATAGGAATTGGGATCAGTTCTCTGATAATAAAGATCTATTCTGATACTCGGTCCTTTGTTCGGTCCTTTGTGTGGACCCCAGTGATCTGTGACTGAAGGAAACCATGTGAGCGTGACCTCTGTTGGTGTATCATCAAAGTTTTGGCCTTTTATATGTCTATTTTCCTCTTGTAGGTATCTCCTGTGAAAATGGACATATAGTAAAGATTAACATGAATTTAAAGCTAGGTGGGACAGTTTCGCTAGCTGGTGGGAAGAGGCAGAGTTAGTGTAAGGTGTGATAGGGTTCTGGCTCAGGAAGACTCCAGACAAGAGTTTAAAGCCAAGCTCTTGCACTGGCCAGTAGTGAACTTTATAACCACAGGAGGTCCCATGCCTCAGTCTCCCCAGCTCCAAAGTAGGAATAAACAGTAACTACCTCACAGGATTGTTGTGAGGAGAACAGAACTGCAGAAGCTCTCTGAAGAGTAAAAAGCGATTCATACAAAAGGTATGACTCAAATGGGGGACAAAAACATTTTTGAAGGTAGAAAAGTTATTCTGCTGTTACTAAGTGAAATATTAGAAAGTACCTTTATGGCCAAGTTGAAAACAAAAATAGATCTGTGTATCCCCTTTTTTGTTGTTAAGCATGCTTGCATTTTGAAAGAACACTGCTACAGAAGTCTATACACCAACGGCTCTGAAAGCTAAAAAAAAAGTTTTGTAACGTGCTTGAAACAATCTGCCCAATGTAATCACCAACTTTTACCTTAACAAAACATAACTTACCGGTGATGACCTGGAAGGCCAGTGTCTGTAAGTGGCTGGCGTGTGGATGGATGACACCACAGAAGTTATAGTGACATCCAAGCATGCTGCTGAAACCGATGCATTTGAAAGAGCTGCAGAAATAACGCAAAATTTTGGTTTCATAAAAATCTCCTGTTTTAAAAGTATTTAACTCTGTAGAACCACAATTATGAAAAGCTCAGTAATGCTGCTAATGATATTTGTAAGATCTACCTTTAATGTAGTGCAATATTTTTATATCTACTGGGACAGGCGGTAGAGGCCTCACAGTCGTGCTTTAGTGCAGGGGAGGGGGATCACTCCAAATAGCCTAGGGGATAGTGAGGTTAAGGCCTCCGTGGAAACAGTTGTATTCTATTACATTCCTGATGTAATCTTGCTGCCATGCTATGTTATCAATAGCTAAAAAATAATAAAAAGAACTACCACAGAAAACAAGAATATCTTCATTTGCTACCATCTGAAAGAGGTGATTGCTGCCTTTTCTGGAGTGACCGCCTGGTAGAGCTGGGCCGTGCATACAAGCTCTTCACCAAGTCCACTTTCGCTAAACAAAGTTGCTATTTTGAAATTTGCCGAAAAGCATTAAATTCTGGTTTCGCTATTGTTTTTCTAAACTGAAATCTCAGATGTATGGATCAGCCCTGCTACTTATTAAGAATTAGACTATTTTCTGTATTTCTGGTATTTAGGTGAAGAACTAGGTTAAACAAGCTGAACAATATTTTAGCACTGAGTCAGAATTAATATGCTACATTTCCTAATACCGAGCCCTATACTTGAGGATCAGAATAGTTGAAACACTATTGGCCATTTTATGATTTTGAGAGGAGGAAACAAGCTGAAGATTGGAGGGTTCTGTCAAGCTCTAAATTTATCTGGATTTTTTGAAAGGCAGGTTGAAAATAACTTGGCTCCCGATTATAAGGATGAGATCTTTAATTTCCCTAAAAGTGAATAAATTTAAAATCACTTTAAAAATGTATTGTCTTTCTTTCTAAATTGAAATAATAGCTTTTCTTTAAGAGAAGGGTTTAGAACCCCTCTAAGATCTGAGTAAAACTGCAGTTCTCACACCTGTGAGTCTCACGCCTCAAAGAGACCCATGCACATACCCTGAGTTGTCTGGATTTCAGGGCCCTGTGCCCTGTGGGCTCACGTGCAGAAGAGTTTAGTTACTCCCATCAGATACGGTTATTTGTTCACGACAATCAGGAAAACATCGTGACTTTAGAAATGCAGGGGCAACTTACTGGGCTTTTCCACATTGACACCATGGGACGAGTTACAGATTTCAATTCAAAGCCAGTTTTGCAAAGCCAAAAAGTACGGTTCAGACTAACCTGAACTTTACCTGATGCCTGCAAGCAGAGAAGAATAGTCTTTAATTAGATTTTCACAGTCAATACCTTATGCATTTTATTCCAGCGATCATGTCTGGTTTATAAAGGAATACAAACAGGCACAGTAGTGTTCAGAAGATTTATTAAGGAAACGAGCTAAAACATGTATGCACATACACTCAGCAGTCAAAAGAAAAAACTGAATATTCTTTGCTACTTCAGTGTTTTTGTATCTACTTTGCCAGGTACAAACAGAAAAACCCATCTTTGCTCAAACATTCAGGGAGCTGTATATTCACGGTTAAGATGATACACATGTTAAAAGGGGAAAAAAAGCCTCACTTCACAGTCCTGCTAACCCCAGAATTTTAGTCCTACCTATAAAAGACCTTGTAATTTCCCCCTCTCAGATAAAATTGATACTTTTACTCCCCAAAACAATTCTGAAAAACCTCACATATCTTTTTATGCTCGTTCTAGAGATCAGCAGTGGCCATGCCTCTGCCAATCATCATTCTCAAAGAACTGAAGCCTCAAAGGCAAGAATGAAATTGGAGTAAATCGTACAGTACTGTGGTCAGGGAGAGCCACAAACCCTCTAAGAGAAGTCTCCCCTGTGGGAGTAGAAAACAATCCTGCTAGTTACGTTAGCCATATGAGAGTGCTTCTAGAGCCATCTTTCAAAGTCACAGACTTGTGCAAGTTGCCCAGTGCAAATGTGTGAGTAGGAAACTTGTCTGCTTCCACCACACTGCCCCTGAACACCAGATTTCCAGTCACCCCAAGAAGCTTCATAAAGCAAATGGGAAATAGCAGCTACTCTCTTAGAGAACGACGAGGTCGCGTCCTCGTTCTAAAGTTCCTTGCTCCTTGTCCAAGTTAACAGAAACACAACGTTAGCTTAACGAAATACAGACATTAGGTAATTTTTGTTGATTGCAGAGCTACAGAATTAACAAGTATTATCTGAGACATTCTACACTCCGCACACTCCAGTCACATCTCGCATAAAACATGACAGCTGACAGTGCTAACACAGTATTTGCTGATGAACTGAAAAGGCACGTCAATGTTGTCATGCTTAGGAAAACCACATTTTACACAGCACTAGATGATAGAAGGATACACAGACATTTCTAGATGTTCCTAGGGTTTTTCTGTCTCTGAAGGGAATGTGTCCTGACCTATTATTTTTACCTGTTTTCCTAACGTGATTCAAGATAATTTCATTCTTCCTCCATCTTCATTTAAAATTTGTTTTCACATTGATGTGAACAACCTTCAGAAGTCTAAAAATAATAGTTGCAATTCAAAACTTAATAGATTGCTAGAAGACACTTGGATAACCTCTTAACAGGTTAAAGATCTGGTCAGATTTTTTTCACATCACAGCAGCTATTAGGCTTTTAAATTTCTAAAAGTTGAACTAGATGTTAATGTATCTTATCACGCTTAAACAACCTTGACAGTATAAGGTGTGTCTACCCTCAATTTTCTTTCCTCCTAAGACAACCAAGTATATATTGGAAAGGGAAAGCTAGTTGTTCATAACTGTACTTCTGGGTGCATTTCTCTGCTTTCACAACATTTACTATTTTTCCCTATTGCCTTTAGTGTCTGCTGCCGGCCACATGACATGTGAATTTATAATTTACAACCATCTGTTTCCAGGTAGATGATTGCATAGAAAACTAATGCCAGCTACAATTTATGGGTAAGTCCAAAAGAGACGGACTCAAGTTCCTGTCCTCTGCATTTGAGAAAACTAGCTTTTAGCTCATAAATATACGCATCGTAGTTACAAGGTAACCACACTCAGTGTCACGACATCATATGCTGTCTTATTTGACTCTGTTTTTCAGACTTCCTTCTAGTTTCTCAGTGTTGGAAGTGTCTCGGAGATAATGTGTGCTTTAATTTTAAACACTCATTACCAATATTCAGAAAAAATATAAGATTTTTTTTGCCCAAGTGTTCATGAATGTAAGTTTTTTTAAAAATTATATTTGATTTGGATTCAAATATTTATAGATTTACACTATATCTATTTCGTCAAAATATATTGTATAATATTTAATAAAATCAAATACATAAAATAAAGTTTTCAACACTATTTATACAAACCCCTAGAAAAGCTGCTTTTTCTTTATAAGGCTGTTGGCAATCAATCGCAACCACGGAGAAGAATGAATAACCTTTGGTTGTTTTGCTTTCACCAGGGATGAATGGTGACTAAGACAGTTCCGGAGGAGTCATTTCACTGGAAACACGGTTTTGTACAATTAAATTTTGATGACTTTTGAGGATCTCAGTCACTTTCGGATTCTTCATCATCACCTATCGGATACGACTGGGTATTATTCTGGGTGTACATTTTTGTTTTAATGGGGCAGCTGTGATCCATGAGAATAGCCTGAAAGAGAGAAAAGTGCAGGTACATTAACCTTATTTCACAAAGATAAGATGGTTTTAACCTACCATCTTTAAGGATTACTAGCTGGAAAGCTGTGTCCAGCACCACGCACTGTCAGCCAGTCCTCCAGTGCCACTGCCAGGCGCCTGGCCCAGAAGCCTTGGGGTTCCACGCTCCAGGAGGGTCCCAGGCAAGAGAGACTGCGGACGTGGTCTCCACCAGGGCCGTGAGGTCCAGTCAGGACAACCTGTGAGCCGCGAGGCAAGGGCTATGGCGGGTCACGCTCAGGAAGAGTTCTATTTAGAATCTTGGAATTGGGACTCGGGGGGATCTTGGAGGTCACCCAGTCCAACTGCTGTGCACGGATTTCACTGTGGCAACACAGGAAGGGCACATGCTATCCTTAATGAGGTGAACTCCTGTTGGACGTGTGCCTGAGGCTAACCTGCGTCCCTTGTTTCTCGACGTGGATCCGGTTCTGATTCCAGCCATCTTCACAGACTCCCCTTATGGTATTTTAAGACCACCTCCATGGCCCCTTAGGTTTCCCTACACTGAACATCACGGGGCCCCTATGTTTTCATAAACGGCATTTCCAGAGCACCTCTCCCCAAATCCTGGGTGTCTTCCTCTTGCTCAAATGTAGGATTTAAAACAACACACACAAAAAAACACTCTCACAAACAGAAAAATCTTGTGCCTTCTCATTGTTACTGAAAAATAAACAGTCCATTGATCCTCAATTGAAAAACATCCTCAGTAAGTCCTGGTAATCATTTTTCCTCTTGAACATGTGCAGACCAAGCCTGCTGTCTGAGAAAACAGCTCCCCCTTATCCTGCCAGGCCCGTGCCAAGCCATCCCACTGCAAGACCTCCACTCCACGAGCACTCTCCGTGGTGGGCCGACAGCCCTGTGTGTACGCGCAGTGATTAAGGAACATGACCTTTACTGCATGTAAAGGGACGTACTGGAACGGGGCAGTTGTGCGCCAGACAGCCTTGTGCCAAAGTCTGTTCCTGCTGGAGGGAGGGGACGACAGCACCATGGCAGGACACTGGGTACAACTAACGGAGTCTCCCACCAGCTGTGCCTTTCAGAGTCTTACTCCACATAAACTATTCCAGTACCTTTGTGTACAGCATGAAAATCTACATGGAAGCATTTATCTGTTAAAATTTTTATCTCATGTTGGCCTATTGCAACCTATCTTGGTGTTTGTCAGCCCCCCCCCCAGGTCTTGCCCCATACATTTGATAAGTTCTGTGACTCCACTCAGTGCCAACCCATTTATCATTTGCTGAAAAATTCTAAAATTATCTGCCTGGGTGACATGTTAAGAAAACAACTTCCTTGACCCTCTACGGCTGTCAGCTCCAAGTGTCTGCTGCAAATTTTTTTTTTTAACACTTCATGCCAAGTCATGTATTTAATAAAGAGCTCTACTTCTAAACCTCAGTCACTGAGGCAGCAGACATTGTCCATCAGGACCATTCTCCCCATATGGACGTATCCTTGTTACACAAAAGGTTTAACCCCCAAAGAGCTCAACGTCTTATGTCCTTAGGGTAGCGATCCTCAAAGAAACATGTACAGGGGGCACCTGGGTGCTCAGTAGGTTAAGCCTCTGCCTTCGGCTCAGGTCATGATCTCAGGGTCCTGGGATCGAGCCCCACATCAGGCTCTCTGCTCAGCAGGGAACCTGCTTCCCCCCCTCTCTCTCTGCCTGCCTCTCTGCCTACTTGTGATCTCTGTCAAACAAAATCTTTAAAAAAAATATATACAGGAATCACTTGGGGGGAGGGGGAGTTAAACCTGAAATTCAGGTCCCTAACCCTTCATGGCAGTGGTGTCAACATGCTATGAGAAGCACCACCCCAGTGACACAGTATCATCCGGAACTCCAGCAGGGCATACGGTCGGCACCTGCTGCCCTGCCCCCCAGGTCCGTCCTCTCCCTCGCAGCAGCTCTGTGACTTCCCTCGAGGGGAGGACCGGTCCCACCACACTCAGGTGGAACGCTGGCCGTGGGTGACATGCTCCGGGACAGCTGTACAGAGGAGATGGGATGTGAGATGCACCTTGAAGGGTAGGAAGGATGGGCACAGCAGAGGAGCTGTAGGCACAGCCTAAATTATCTACTTGACAAGCCACTATGTAAAAGAGGGACACGGGCGCCTGGGTGGCACAGTTGGTTAAGCAGCGGACTCTTGATTTTGGCTCAGGTCATGATCTCCATATTGGGCTCCACACTCAGCACGGAATCTGCTTGGGATTCTCTCTCTCCCTCTGACCTCCCCCTCCCACAGCAACCACTGCCCCAACTAGCACACTTGCTCACTCTTGTGCTCTCAAAAAACAATAAGTATAAAAATAAAATAAAAACAGAAGACACTAAGTAAGCCAGCCTGGCTGCCACAGAGTTCTGACAATGAGGTACACGGACATTAATTAGCCCAACCACAGCGAGACCGCAGGGCCCTGAATGCCAGGCAAGGGGCCTCAATCCCTGACCCACAGGCCCGAGAGCCTTGGGAAGGATGCCATCGCTCTACCCTGCTCATAACTGCCTTCTCTCTCTTGGTTCAACCCCCTCCCCCCGCCGCTCCATTAGACCTGACTCTGCATATATGTAGATTTCTTAAGGACCCCAGAAACCTAACTGGGCACCTAGCATGGACTCAAACAGCAGTGTTGCAAGGGAACAAGTTCAGTCATACTGATGACGGGGGCATGGAACAGACTTCAGTGGTCAGAAGTTATCAATGCAGAAAAAATCATATTTGCACACAAAGCCTATTCCAGATAAGGTTTTTTTCTCGAAATACTGTTTCATTTCTTTTAGAACCTAGCTTACTGGCTTCTGAACCTCTTTTGAAAGACAGTGTGACAGTTCTGATTTTATAACAAGTTATATGTGAACAAAGAAGCCTGATGGCATAATGTAATATTCCCAAAGTTCGAGGGACAGAGAGAAGCGAACAGGATCCAGTGGGAAAGTCAAGTATGTAGTGGCCACAAAGAGTCAGGCTCAGGGAGCCACCACATAATTTAAGCCAGTGGTCTGCTGGGAAACAAGGCGTGTCTGACTCTCTACTGAAGACGAGGGGGAGGAGGAGGGTGTATTAATTCAGAGCACAGCCCAGTTACTGAGATTTGAACCTCTGCCAAATGCCTGGTTTTCCTATCAGACACAGAGCAGAATGAGGCTCTCCGAAGTGGTAAAAGCTTTGTTGGACCAAATGAAGTATATAAATTAAATACCCAGCTGGGGTACTGAGACAGGAAGAGCACTGGAGGGTACGTCCTCCAGGCTGGGCGATTTTGAGAGGTATCAGGCCTGAATGCTAGGAAGTTTTATTTACCATATCTAGGGGGAAAAAAAAAATTAGTGATGGCTTTGCATATCCACTATGTAAATGTCCTGTAAAGGGATATATTTTATAAATAGATTAATACAAGCAGGTCTTTGCCTGGCCCCTGCATTCAGGAAACAGAGTCCCTGGAAGGACCTTAGAACAACCATGAGAGATCTGAGAGTCACCCAGGAAAAGCCAGGTATGATCTCAAACACCTACTTTCCAATCTGGGCCACAACCAGAAACTTCAAGAGTAAGACACAAGAAACGTGCCCTATCTTCAAAAATAATTTTTCAATCTGAAAAAATATCCGTATCAGCGCACAGCTATTCTCAACCGGATATTATGAGAGCCATGGGCTGCATGTCATTTTCATGTACCTAACACACAGTTGTCGGGGCGCCTGGGTGGCTCAGTGGGTTAAGCCTCTGCCTTCAGCTCAGGTCATGATCCCAGGGTCCTGGGATCGAGCCCCACACCAGGTTCTCTGCTCTGCGGGGAGCCTGCTTCCTCCTCTCTCTCTCTCTCTGCCTCTCTGCCTAGTTGTGATCTCTGTCAAATAAATAAATAAAATCTTAAAAAAAAAAAAATACACAGTTGTCCTCACATGGCAGAGCGGGTATTTCTTACACTTGCAGAGGGACCTGAGCTGCAAACAGGTTTTTTTTCCTCCACCATACTGACAGGAAAGAAAGAGGAAGGAGGGGAGGGAAGGGGAAGGGAGGGGAGGGGAGGGGGAAACAAAGAAAGAAGGAAATCGAGTACACCAAACAGAAGAAACACTCAAGTGTCAGAAACTAATTCATGATTCTGTGACTGGGGACCCATGAAAACGGCATTCAATCTTCCAATATAAAACGGCTTAAGTCCAAATGTCTCATTATCAGAACACCGCCTCATGGAAGAATTATTTGCTCCCGTTTCTAGGCCATTTTCCGGCTCTCCCGTCCCCTGCATTTGTTAACTGCTCATCCTGAAGGCCAGCACTGGTCGGGATTGGATTTTCTCAAGTGGACAGTAATCAGCTCCGTCCCCTCGGTGGCACACTGCTGTCCCAGCCTCACTCCCCCAATCATGAAGTTTCTTCCTGCTCCACTGGCTCCATGAGCAGGCAGCCGCTGTCAGCCACCCTCAAAGGCTACCATTCCACTAGGCAAATGCAACCCAGTGTGATACCTTCAATGAAGGGCAGCCGTTACGGGCGGCGAGATGCACGTTCCTCCCAAGTTTTTAATGATTCCTCTTGCTAGGCATGTATCGAGGACTTTGACATTTTACAGTAAAAGTGGCTTTCTGGAAGCCTGCAATGCTTGCTGCTTTGCCTCTCAAGATTGTCTCTTCCTCTTCCCTCGGCATTTTTTTTTTAAGATTTTATTTATTTATTTTACAGAGAAACATCACAAGTAGACAGAGAGGCAGGCAGAGAGAGAGAGGAAAGCAGGCTCCCTGCTGAGCAGAGAGCCCGATGTGGGACTCGATCCCAGGACCCTGAGATCATGACCTGAGCCGAAGGCAGCGCCTTAACCCACTGAGCCCCCCAGGCACCCTTCCCTCGGCATTTTTAAGTGAATTAAATTAAATTAAATTAAAGCACAGAATTACATGAGGGAAGAGAAGAGGCACCAGGCGTCTGCCTGCTTCCTGCAGGGTCTCATGGGGAACCCACAGCAGTAGCTGGTGGGTGGGCTGATCCCCCATTCATCCTCAGCCCTCACTCATTTCCTCCGACGCCCCAGATAAGCCATCAGGCTGCTGCCAGCACACAGATAACCCAACAGCCACTAACGTCCTCTTCTTGGCTAAGGAAACCCATTCAGCAGTCCTGGGGTCTCAGTAGCAAAAGGAAGTGCTCACCTCGCAGAGGGGACAAAGGGAGGACAGCAGGGGACCTCTGAGCAGACAGTAAATCAGAGCACTTGGTAAAAGCAAGAAGTAGGGGGTGACACTGGACATAATAACACATTTATTGAGCATTTACTGTGTGCTAAGCACAGGACTAAGCACCCTGTGGCATTCTTCTCCAAATCCTCACGGCACGGCAATGAGGCAGATGCTTTCATTTTCCCCATGGGACAGTTTGGCTCCAAGGCCATGCCAGCCCTTCACCATCTCCCAAGAATCTTAAACTGTCTCTTGGGTGACAGGAGCATTTGTAGGTGATTTGTCTGGTTTTGGTCAAAAAGGGTTAAGAATAACCTTCCTTCAGCCTTAATCAAATTGATATGATGGCAACAGAATGACAGTTTTTAGTTGTTGCACTGAGAATTTTCTGACCCTGGTTGGGGCAAGGCACGGTGCGTGGGTCAGGCCAGAAGACAGGTAGGAATATCAACAAAGCACTACGGGTTGTTCAGAACTGGTGGGGGGGGGGTCTGAGCACGAGGAAGGAAACAAAGGCGGGGGGGGTCTCCATCGGGATATTTCCACACCTTCCATTCCTTTTCTTTCTGTCAAACGGGTTGTAAGCGATTCAAAATTATCTCAATAAAGGGCCTAAGACCAGTGCCCAATGCTGAATATATTTCTTAAATACATTGAAGGAATTAATGAATACAAAGAATGCTGCAAACAAATACAGGCACACATAGCCTAACTTTAGAATCTGTGTCTGTTTTTAAACCCACTCTTTGGGGAAATTCATAAAAGGGCAGTTTGAGAAATGCCAAAGCATCAAGACCCACTTCAGTTCAACCATCAGAAAGAACTTCTGATGTACCCCCAAGAGAGCATCACAAGCGACCCTCATAATCACAAATACTGTCTCTCCCTGCCTCGGTTATCTCATTCATTCTTAACCTAAACCACTCTTCTTCCAGCTGGATGAGAATCTGTCACCATGTGAGGTTTTAAAAACTCCATCACCAGGTCTGAGGGCTGTCAGGTGAACATGACTATTGCATTTCAAAATTCAAGTTTAGAACCAATAAGTGAATCTGTTCAGAAGAGGAACACCTTACACTCAATTCTGTATCTTGCATCTGGATATGACTGTGGTTGTGAAATTGTGAATTTAAAGGTTACCCATGCTTCTGTGTGCCCAGAGGTACATATATGATAGTTTTCCAAAATGCTCTGTTATCTACACCAAAGCCATCTCCAGAATCTTTTGCAGTAAGGACTGAAACACTATTATTTAAAGCTGTAAGGCTTAGGAGAAAAGCAGACAGCACCAAAAATGGCTAATCTTGGGACTTGGCACAGGAGGCAAAAAAAAAAAAAAAAGAAAGAATGTTCAAGATTCTCAAGAACTGAAGAAAATTACACTGAACTACCCTACCCCATTTCTGGTTGGCAAAAGAGCTGCACAAACTGCTAACATATGTATAAAAATCATTTCATTCTTCACATTTATAAACAAAACTTTTGATACAGTAAAAGAAATACGGTCCATGTGGTATACACTCAAAAAGAACTCTGACCATTTATGTTTGAGTGTTCTGCCCAAAAGGAGCAGAAATGTATTTCATAACTAAGCCATGAAGAAACTGCCCAGAAGATCATGCTAAAATGATCAAGAAACACTTGATTGCATCCTAAAATTTTCTTACCATTTTTTCTTCTTTGGCAGGTGGACTTCGAAGAAAAAAGCAGAGAGGAGCAAAAAGAATATCTATTATTCCAATAATGGTCATGAGCCATGGAAATCCGATTGCCTTTGCAACAGCCCCACCAGCAGAAGGACCTTTCAGAAAGAGAGAATTAGATCAACCTCTCTCCAGATGTCTCACAGATAGAAAGACACAAAAGTTTAAATAATTTTCAATCATGATCATGCATTAAGCTAAAATGTTGTTTTGAAAAGCCAGAGTCCTTACCTATGGCATATCCCATGCAGAATGCCACATCGGCAATGGCGTACACGCTCCCGTAGACGGACACGTGCCGCAGGTCGACCAGGTAGCCCATGATGGGCATCATTGATGAATCCACCATTCCTGTGGACAGTCAGGGAACATGGTCTATGGAAAATGGACATAACCCAAAAACGCAGGGAATATCAGGGACTGTGTCCTAACCTCACAACCTTACCAGTTCTTCCCCAGTGGTCGCTACCACCCGTGAGTCTCAAGGCAAGCTGCCCAAGGCATACCCTTCACTGAAGACAGACAGCCAGTCGCGGAGGCTGGGACTGGAACCCAGGCCACCTTTACCTGTTCTCCACCTTACCTCACCTGTCCTCCATGGTCTAAAGGGCCCATTTTCCAAGGGAGAGCTCCAGTCCTCTGGTGACTCCCAGACCAGGCTGTGACATCCAGGGGGGTGTGCTGGCTGCCGGCTACTGGCCGTGCAGACCCCCTCACTTGCTCCCAGCTGGTACTTTCCAGATTAACTCTCTTCTGGTCCACAGACCCCTTGCCCTCACCCAGGGGTCACAACTACAGGCCTCATACACTCCCTCCCCCTTCCACACCTTAGCCTCACACACGGACCATAAGAAGAAGTTGGAAAGTATCGGGAAAGATGGGAAGGAATCAGGACATGAAGCTGTCTAAGGGATTACCCTGCCCTGCTCTTGGAAGAGACTGAAAGAGAGACTGCTAATTTGGGGCTCAAACACCAACACCAAGGCCAGTATTAGAATCCCTTATTCCTTCAACAGTCAGGGACAGGCAGCCTAAAGAAAGAGCATGTGTGCTGAGGCCTGGGCTCATGGCCCTGGCAGGGTGAGCAGGGCCTTATCTCTCCAAACACTAGCTTTCCCACCTGTAAAATGGTGCAGATAACGATCGGCTACAATGAGACTATCTGTGGACACCTCCAGCGGTGTGCTCCAACGCTCGCTCCCTCCCCTCCACCAAGTACTAGCGGCAAGAAGGGGAGGGAAGTTTCATTCAGTGAGTATTTATTAATGCCCTAACATGTGGAGGGTGCTGAGGCCATGGGGTGAACGAAACGGACAGTTGGACAGGCCGCAGAGAGTTGAAACCTGCATTACGGTTGTCACTGACGCCATGAGGTGCCGCACGAGGACAAACCTGACCCAGCCTGGGGAGTGTGCAGAGCCTCCCTTCTCTCTTCCCACTGCACCAAAGATTCACTTCTTGACAGATTTAGCATTTACTCTTATTAGGGCCCATGTGTATATTACAAAGGAGAAACAAATGTATACTATTTATCAAAAGTGTGCGGGGCGCCTGGGTGGCTCAGTGGGTTAAGCCTCTGCCTTCGGCTCAGGTCATGATCTCAGGGTCCTGGGATCCAGCCCCTCATCGGGCTCTCTGCTCTGCGGGGAGCCTGCCTCCCTCGCTCTCTCTCTGTCTGACTCTCTGTCTACTTGTGATCTCTGTCTGTCAAGTAAATAAATAAAATCTTTAAAAAAAAAAATGTTCAGGAGGTTTTTCCTAACAAGTGACTGTCCCTCACATTACAAAGACGTGTCCCTTTGAAGACAAGAAGTCCCATAGCTCAGTGGTGATCAGCGCCTCTGTTCCTCTTTTCTGTACTAAACCTTATAAAAAGTACAGGTGAGGTCTCTGCCCGCACCAGGTTCATGGGAGCAGTTCCGTGCACAGATCTGAGTCCTAACAAACGGGCTCTGAGTGAGGGATTTTCTTGTTTGCCCGAGGCCAGCCACGGAGCAGCCGTTTGCCTCTGTAAATATCAGGCTTTTCAACGTACTGGTTTTCTGGAAATAAATGACCAGCGGGCAGAAGCAGGTCTAATATCTGTAGATAATCGACAGGCTGCCCACAGCCTCCTCTCAGGCTTCCGGAAATTTTAGGTTGAGGAAATAGACTCTGCCCAAATCAGACGAAATCTTTCTTAGTCATGGAGAAAACAAAGTTTCAAATTTAGGCATAAGGTTATGTGACTTACCAATTGCAAAGCCAACTCCAAAGTTAGGAGCTATGAGTCCATAAATGTTTTTTGCAAAAGGAATCTGTAAGAGGAAATAACATTACACTAGAATCACGATATCCAACTGTAAATCTTCCGGGAAAATCTTCAGGACATGCTTTCTCAGGCCTAGTGTGCTGTTTCCTTCTGAGGGAAGTGGGAAGAAGGAAGAGGGCGGGGTTTGGGGAGAACCGGGACCTCCAAGCCTTTAGAAGCTGAAGCTGAAATGGGTTTTGCAACCACCAAGGAAAACTCGCTGCCTGCCGGAGTTGAGATCAGCCTGGACCACACTCTACTTCTGACAAGGACCAGGAGGCCTCACTTGCGGTGGATACTGGCCATTGGTAGAAGGTGTTTTATTCTAGGAAACAGTCTTGCTATTGTTTCGGCCAGTAGTCTGAAAGTGTTTTATATACATTATTTATATATGCATAAATGTATACAGATATGTACTATACATACACATATATATAAATGTATACATATATAAATAAATTTATATTTATTATAAACTTTATAAATTTATAATTTTATGTGATCATATACAATTATATATAATTTTATATTTTGTATATAAAAATTTAGAATTGTATATAAAAATATATTATATAATTATAAAAATTTGTAAGTGAATTTATAAATAAATTTATAAATTTAAGTGAATTAATTTATAAATAAATTTATAAATGTAAGTGAATTTATAAATAAATTTATAAGTATAAATGTATAAATATATTGTTTGAAAGTTTTATAAGTATATTTATAATATATATTATAAACATCACAATGTTTAAGATGTTGGGGGGGAGTTGGGCACTGACATACACAGTACGCAAAAAACGTGCTACATGACCTCCAACTGACTGACCTCAAATTAAAAATCTATTCCTTGAAGAATCTTGTCCAAAACGCTTAAGAAGATTAAAAAAAAATTAGAGGAAAATGGAGAGGTCATAAAACCAAATATCAACAAACTTTAAATGGTTATAAAAGGTTTCCTGGGGAGTCTAGTCCAAAGCAATAGTTTTATTTACAGAGCATTACCCCTTGTCAAATATCATCTTTTACTCACACATAAAATGCTGATGCCAACAATTATCATTCCTAGAAGAGCGCAAAGCCACCTGCCAAAAAACAAAACATAAAAAAGCACCTTTAATAAATGACCACTTCAAAGTTTTCCTCAGGTAAAATGTATAAAAAATAAAATGTATAAAAGTGTATAAAAAAATCTTCAGTAGAAATCAAAGCAGTTGCCTGTGATAAGGCAGAAACATGCAGAATTTGCCTCAAAGAGCTACATTTTTCTAAGAGAGTGGGCGCTGTTCACACATCATCTTACCTCCCCATTTTGTGTGCGAGCATCCCAAAAATATTGGTTCCGATGAGATAAGAGATGCTAGCTGGCAAGAAAGCGATGCCTGTAAATTTATGAAAAGGACACCTTATCAGCATTGATCATCAGTCAAGTGTTAGAAAAAGTAATCATTGTCAGACACCACAATGGTGATGAGAACCGAGGAGAGGAGCCCCAGGACCTGCACGCACGCAGCTAATATCCGGTGGCGGACGGATCCAGACTGGACCCCACGGTCCCGATCCGTCCTCACAAAGCTGCTGAGACGCTCCAGAAATGAAATCCGCTCCTCTATCAACAGCTCCATCTTCCCTCCATCCGGGCCTGCTGGGGGCTGGGAGCCGCCTGACACGGGCGGCTCCCGCGGCGGGAGCGGGGCCTCTGCGACCCCACGCGCGACCCCAGCCTCACCCCTTTGTTACTTTACCACGGAAGGAAGACGCAGGCATTGAAAAAAAAAAAACAAAAACGCGGGAACATTAAGGACCAAGAAAAAAGTTACAATCATCCCAAACCCCATCACTCAGAGAATGCGCATGGGGATCTCCTCCCGTCAGTTTGTACGCACAAGTTTGCACACACTCAGATAAATGCGTGTGCACGGGACTGTAAGGAAAACAAAACAAAACAAAACAAAACATGGGTTTATGTTATTGTTCTACGCCCTGCTTCTTTCGACTAGCATTATGAAGATCTTTCTATGTCTGAAAAAATAAATGTCCACGTGGTCCTTTTTTGTGACCGAGGCACGTGACAGACATTGACATGTCCAGGGTTCCACGCTCTCCCAGAGATCTGGCATCCCTGGGGCCAACCCTGTGCCAGTTTCCAGCTGCGGGTGGCAGTGGTCGCCTTGAACGTCGTGTGTGCGTTGAACAGAAAGCCTCCTCGAATCCCACCTGCCTGGCTGCGGGGATTGGTCCAGATCAGCTCTGTGTGGTCCCCATCTGTCATCACGACAATAGACCATCTCTTCTCGAAAGATGGCTTGTCAAACTAGTCATACTTTGGTGTTCTTCTTGGACTCAGTTATACCAGCTTTGATCCTAAGCCTTGCCCACAAATGGTGAGCGCTGCTCTGTCCCCGATCCCACGACTGTAACACCAGACGCTAGACGGTCAGCAGGTGGGCACTGTTCTTGAAACGCACGTGGCCCGCGGCCTTTCTTGTCTCGGCAGCTCAGCAGGGCGCAGACAGGTGGGATCTGGCCCCCTTCGAGCATATAGCAGCCTCTCCCTGCAGCTCTGCGAGCACGAAGGCCGTCAAACCCTCCCAGGAGGCTGAGCCTGCCAGCACAGGTGGGGTTTCAAAATGATTAGGTTCAGGAGCAAAATCCAAAACCAAATGACCCTGGCCTTGGTGATCGGGGAGAGGAGAATAAAGAGCGATCTCACTGCCGTGTTCCAGGAAACCATTTCCGTCACGCTTGTCGTCCAGGTGGCCAAATGACGGCTGGGCGTAATCAGATTCAGCAAACACGACTGAGAGCATGGGCCCGGCTCAGGGCTACAGCGAAGCCAGTGGCCACAACGTGGCTCTGGTCGCCATGAGACGTCTCCAAAGGAAGGAATCAGATGACGACTGAACTGGGACAGGGCAACGTCAGGGGCCGACGCAGGTACGGACACAGTACAGGTACGGAACCCAGAAGCTCCCCAAAGCAGCTCGTAACTAAGCCCAACCTTGACCACAACGTCATAGAGTTAGTCTGGAGAAAGAAACCATGAAGACCTTGGTCTCAGGACAAGTGTCTGTGGGGTCTGGGGAGGGCGTAAATGACGGGAGAAGCAAAGTACACGTAACAGCACAGATGCCGTGAGAAACAGCCACGACACTGGGCCTCGGTGTCCGAGAAACAAAACATGGGGGCCTGGAGCCCCTCGGAGAAGGCAGCTGCTCATCCTCCCAGACAGGAGGACCAAGGTCCCAGATTGGAATATCTGATCTTTCTAGAAAAGCCTCAACTCAAGGTTCTTACATGAAACCTCTTGGGATGCGTAAATGTTGGTGACTAAATGTTAAAAACATAAAGCCCTCGCAGACTGACACTGAAGCAGCCAACCAAACCCCCCCACCCCCGCCCAGGGCTGAACACCTGTGGGCTGAACTTGGTCCACAGACACGGCCATGAACTGGAGCCAATGGAAGCGGATTGCAGAGAACCCGGCCAGGAGCCCTGCTTCCTGGTGAATCCCGACTCTAGGAGCCAAGCCTCAAGGCAGGGTCGCCAGCGAGCTCCAGAAGAAGCCCCAGATCAGCTACAGCTTCCTGACTTACCAGCGGGGTGCTAAGCTCACTGTGGGAAGCACACGTGGGTGCCCCTTATTTTCCACCGACAGCAGAACCGTTCAGGCAGCAAACTGCAGGTCCTGGCTCTCCAGGAAAAAGCACCGGAAGTCAGGCAAGAAACAAGATGTCCCTTTCACAGACTAGTGGAGGCTCCAGCGGGTCACCGTAACCTCTCAGAGCCCGGGGAACAGCGACCGTCCCTACAGCACGCAGCTCACGGGAAGGCTTTGAGGTTCAGAGGGCAGCCCGCCCTCCCCGTCTGAGCCCCCTGCCCTGTCCCTCCCTGCGGGTGCCTTACTGACCTTTCACCCTGGTGGCCTGGCCGGCCCCAGACTGCAGCGAGGTCCTAGCGGACAGGGGGACCATGTCACCTGTTCCGGGAGGCAACCAGGCGGCGCTCAGAACACGGCTGAGCACTTAGAGGAAAAAGCCCGTGTGAGGACACGGACTTCACAGAACCAAAGGTATTGAGGGAGGCCACTGTCCCTCGCAGGCAGAGCCGCCTTTGTGCAGCACCCTGGGGGCGAGAGGGGGCGGTGTGGTCTGGAGCTAGAACCCTCTTTTCCTGACTTCCAGCTTCAGACGTCAGGCTCCAAGCCCCGAGAGCTGGTCTTCCGCGGCTTCGGCCTCCTCGGCATTGCCAGTGCCCCAGCACAGCACACAACCAACAACCCATTCTAGGGACAAAGAAACTTAGAAACCTCAGTGTGCCTCCCGCAGCAGCCTGCCGGGTGTCCCAAGAGACCACCTGGCTTTGCTCAGAGAGCCCACTGCTCTTCCAGACAGCTCTGTGTGGACGGCTCCCGCCAGGGGCTGGTGTCCTAACCCCAAGCCCGGATCTGCCCATCACTTCCACCCGCTGATCCTGCTGTGCATTCCAGAACCTTCCACCTCCTCCCCCAGCCCAGCCACCGGCACGGTTTGGCTTCCCTGACGAACCACCACCAGGGCTCTGGGTCGTGGCCAGTGACTGAGCACCAGCTGCCTCCCTCGTGTACAAGTTCAAGTGACTCCTCTACCTTGAAACATGGTGCCCAGGACTGACCCCGCCCAGCTCCTTGCTGGGTGCACAACAGTGACCACTACCATCTGAGGAAGGCCTGGACGATTCACAGGGCTGGCTCCACCGTCTGGCCCCTGGGTCACTCTGGGCTCCAAAGGCAGTCATGCCTGCTCTGGCCCCGGGGAGCCACCACTCACGCAGCCCTCGTGGGACTCATGCACACTGACCCGCACCCCCACCACGCCCCTGCCGCCCTCCAGGCGGTGTTTTCCACCCCAGGGCAGGACTCTAACCTCTCACCAGAGAGAGTCAGTCCTCCTTGGCCCTTTCAGACCTTCATTCTGCCCAGGGAGATCTTTTTGGATCTGTCACGAACGAGCCAACTTGACCCTCCACAAACCCGTATGCCGTGCAAATGCGACAAGAAGTCTTTGCATCTTCCCAACACGAGAGACGTGTGGATCGGCCGGCCTGCACACGGTGTGGGGGCCACACGTGGGAGCCTCTCCTTCTGCTGGGCCCCTGCTCTCCTCACAGGGGTGCCTGTACCTGCCTGTACCTCCAGAAAGTGTACCCACAGGGACCGTCCACCCACCCCTGGGCTTTTGTGGAAAGTCTGGCTTTGACCACAGGTTCACCGGGCACAAGAGGGCGAGGCTCTACCTGCCACAAAGCCCCCAAGGAGCCAATGCTGGACACGCAGCCCCAGGAGGGATGGTGGGGATGCATCCGCGGGCTTCTACCGAGCTCTGGATCACCCATTCCTGAGGTCCGCAAGGGCCTGGTCCAGAACCAGAACAGGGCAATTGTCCGGGTTTGGCCTCCCTAGGGAGGCTCAGGAGGCTGCAGTCCTCACATCCCGGAGTGACAGCATACGGGCAACCCTCTTGTCTTGGGTACCCAGCCAGGCTGGCCCTGGACGTGCTGAAGGTCATGGCTGGCTGGGAGTGGAGGGGCTCCCCTGCCCAGCAGCCCGGTATCCTAGCCTCCATCCTGCACTGCACCGGGACACCTCCTTAAAGAACCAGAAGAAAGAGTCTGGCTCTGCTCTTCTCTGGGCCGCATTGCCCAGAGCTTACATTCCCTTTCGGGGTTTGGAGGCCTCACCAGCAACGGGGTCCCTAAGCCTCCTGGCATCAGGGAGAGGTCATCTGACCCCAGACCTGAGGGAAAGAGAGATGCCATGAAAGCATTCTCTCCCTTCCAATCCAAACTCAGGGCCGCCCCCAAGCGGCAGTGGTGTCTGGGGGACAGGCTCACAAGGGAACCCTCTAAAATATCAGCGGCCGCCATCTACCGTCTCTAAAAATTATGGCCAAAACCATAGCATTCAACAAAACAATCATGGATCACCCGGGTAGCTGGTAAGGCTGATTTGCTTTGACTTCAAACCTTACAGTCTTTTTCCAGAAATGCTGAGGGAAGCAGAGGGACAGAAGGACTTCCCTTTTCACACTGGACCGGGGAGAGCTCACACGTGGCCTCACACAGGGAGGGGAGGCTGCCTGGGGCCCCCGCAAACGGCCATGCCCCCTCCTACCGGCCAGTTCTCATCACCACCCTCAGTCCTCATCCGGCAGCCCCCACGGGGCCCTCTTCACCCCAACGCTCCAGGGCCTGAGGGGCTCTGGGAGAGCTGGGCCACAAGCTGCAGGCAGTGCGCTCCCCTCCCACCAGGGAGGACTTGGCAGAGCTACGGGATTCTCTTGAAGAAATACAAGATTCTCTTGAAGAAACACAAATCTCTGTCTGAGGCAGAAGGGAAGCGATGGCACAGTGGAAAGGTGCGGTGACCACCACCATCTGGCCTAGGAGATAAGCCCTAGGAGAGGATCTCCTGATAAAATCGGGGAGGCCTCCGGCCTGTTATCTGACCCGGAAGGCCTAGGCCCTCTGACAGGCTTTAAGGACTTCATAAAGAAGGCTGTGTCCAGAGAGGAAGCAGCCGAGGAGCCCTGCTCATGGCCAAGATGCACTCGGTCAGGAAAAGAAGTCAGCGAGGTGGGGACATCAGAAACACCAGCAGGTCCTGGGATGGAGCCCGCTTCGGGCTCTCTGCTCAGCGGGGAGCCTGCTTCTCCCTCTCTCTCTGCCTGCCTCTCTGCCTACTTGTGATCTCTGTCTGTCAAATGAATAAATAAAATCTTAAAAAAAAAAAAAAGAAAAGAAAAGAAAAAGGTATGTGAGCAGGGACTAGCTGCCCAGATATCCAACAATGTCCTAAAGCTCCAGGAATCAAACAGGAAAGCACAGACACGGGAATTCCTACCGAAGGAACAGAAGAGAGAACCCAGAGACAGGCCCAAGGACACACAGTTTTTTCAAGGACGATAAAGGTGGGAAAAATTGGGTGTGCTCGTAGGGTAACTGGCTGGTCCTACAGCAAACAGTAACCCCAGGTCCTTCTCACACACCATGCGCCTAGATTTAATCCATGTAAATCCAAGATTTTAATGTAAAAAACAAATCATAAAATTAGGGGAAAATATGGATGACAAAAATGATCTTCACATGGGGAAGGTCTCCCCGGAGCTTCCCTTGAAATGACAAGGACATGAAGGGGCAGACCGCTAACTCTGACGAGCGGCATCTTAGAGGTTCTGACTGGGCAGTAAAACACATTTCTAAACTCAAAAGACATACAACAAAACAAAGGCAATATTTGTGAAACATCTGATAACAGATTAATAAACATGCAAAGAATATTTAAAATCAGTGGGGACCCAACTCCACAGAAAAAATGGGCAACCTATCTTAATAAGAAATCCACAATAAAGGAAATAGGCATGCCTGATAAACACATCAAAAGATGCTCAATTGCACTCAAAGAATTTGTAAAAAATAAATCAAAATGAGACACACACCCCCAACCTTCTCACATATGCAACTAGGAAAGACTGACAGTTCTCGTGTTAATGCAGTGTTACTAATTACCGAAAGCCCATTGCACTTTCAGGAATTTGCACACAGTTCCACTTCCAATCATGAACAGGAATGCATGTAAGAATATTTTGCTACAGTATGGTTTCTAAATGGCAAAAACCAAAACTAACCCAAATTGCCAATGATAGCAACTAGCGGAAAATTTATGGTATAACCTTAAAATAGAACAATATCCAATCGTTAAGATGAATGACAGGCTTCTAGCTAAATAGGGCAGATTATATCTATAGGTTTTTCCTCCATTCCCATCTCAAATTCTGTTTAAATTTTAATAAAAGAACAAAAGAAAACTCCACACCCTCCCCCTCGATGCCCAAAAACAGACAAAAAGGAAAAGGAGAAAATGTAGTGAGAAGGAGAAAGAAGCAGAGAGACCAGTGAGGGACACAGCAGAAAACACTGGAACCTGCCACTTGCACATGGGGCAGCCAACAAGAAGCAACAGCTTCTGTGCCTAAGAACACAGAACATTAAGAAAAATGAAGGCTCCAGGTACTGTGAATGTAAGGCTGAGGCTGTCAACAGGAAAGATGCTTGAAAGGCTAGTTTAAGAGACTTGGATTCCTCAGCTCTCAACTGCTCACCCTGGCAGGAGACCGCTTCTTTAGGGAAACCAAACTCAACTAGCCCAGGGGCCCCAGGCAGCATGGAGACCAGGGATAGCCTGAGACATTGCGGCGGGAAGTGAGTGGAAGTTTTCCTACTAAATGGTAAGACATTGTTATTTCAATGGCCCTTCCACACAGACAAAACCACTCAGAGTAAATATGAAAGGGCTCTTCAAATTAAAGATATGAAGACATCAATTATAAAAATTCAATAGACAGTTTAGAAAATGAAAATTAAGAAATGAGCATAGGGGCACCTGGGTGCCTCAGTGGTTAGGCCTCTGCCTTCAGCTGGGTCATGATCTCAAGTTCTGGGACTGAGCCCCACACATTGGGCTCACTGCTCAGCGGGAGGTCTGCTTCTCCCTCTGCCTCTTCCCCTCACTTGTGTGCAAGCTCTCTCTCTCCAATGAATAAATAAAATCTTAAAAAAAAAAAGAAAGAAATCACTGGAAATAAGAAAAGGTAAGATAAATTAAAAGGATAAAACACAGAGGGTCCAACATTGAATCAAAAAAACTAATAGTAAAAGAGAGAAAATAGAGTAGGGGAGAGGATTAATTAAAGAAATAATACAAAATGGTTTCCCAGAACAAAAATGAGCAGCATCTCTGGTGAACAGGCTAAACAAGCAAGCGCCCAGTACAAAGGAAAAAGATCCCACTGCAAAAACCATCATGGATACTCAAAACCTAGAGAGGAAGAGATCCTCCCAGCACTTACAGAGGATAGGGAATGAGACTGACACTAGCCTCCTCAACAGCAACCCTGGACACCAGAGCACAATAGGTCATTGGCCTCAAAACTGAAGAAAAGAAATTTCCAACCAAGGATCATACACTCAAGTAGACTAAGTCAACCAAATATGAGAATAAAAATGTTTATTGATATGCAAGATCTCTGAAAATTTTACCTGCTATTCACCATCTCTCAGAAAGCAGCTAGAGGATGTGTTCCATCATAATGATAGAGTAAACCGAGAGAAAGGAATATAGAGGAGAAGGATACAGGAAATAGAAGAGAGGTAAAGATACTCAAATACTGGATGACCTAGTAAATAAGTCCAGACTGGAGCAAGACAGAGTAATGTGCAACAAATGTCCACAAACAAGCAAAAACACAAATGGGTTGGGTTTGCTGATGTACTTGGCCATATTTAAAGGGCCTTTCACCTCTGCCAGAGAGTCTGGGAATATGTTCATAAAGGCTACATTGAAAACTAAGAAAATGGAAAGACATGGCGATAACTAACTCTAGGAAAAACAAAAGTCTTTCCATTTTCTTACTTTTCAATGTAGTCTTCATGAACATAAAGTTTGTAAAAAGAAATAACCATAAAACTCTATATAGCTCTTCTTTGAATATTTACATAGTCACAATAATGGCAATACTGAATGTCAATCTTAACAACAAATGTAATATAACTTTTAAAAAAACAGAAGTTGAGAAAAACAGGTGAGTTGGTTGTTTGATATTTTCAGGTGGAATAATAATGGCATTAAATCTCCATCTACCATGTTAGGGAGCTGGTAGACAATGTCAGATATTGGACAACTTAAAAAAAAAAAACAGTAGTTACGCATATTATTTAGAGACATAAATTAGCAGAAAAAAATCTAAAAGCACTGAAGATGATCAAATCTGAGAAAGTGGGTTGGAGATGGGGAGGCATGAGCAAAGACTGCTGGCTTTCTCACTATAATTCTAATAATGTTATTTTACTTAAACATGTGTTTAAGTAAACATGTGTAACTGATAAAAATTTAAATGTAATTAATTTTGAAAATCAAATCTACCCATTCTGTGAAAACATGAACAAACAAGAGGTCACACAGTGATACAATTGGCAAGATCACACTTGGGTTGGGCTTTTAAGCATCTCACAGATGGCGATAAATGCAGAACCATTTGGAAAAAGACACAAAACTATTAACGATGAATATCACAGAGGATTGGGCTGGGAGGAAAGATGAACATGAGATTTTAAGACTGACTCCCTTGATCTATATACTTTGTTTTTTTAACAATAAAGTATGTACTACTTTCTAAATTAGAAGCGTTAAAACTAGGGGCACCTGGGTGGCTCAGTTCGTTAAAGCCTCTGCCTCCAGCTCGGGTCATGATCTCAGGGTCCTAGGATCGAGCCCTGTGTCGGGCTCTCTGCTCAGCAGAAGTCTGCTTCCCCCCCTTCTCTCTGCCTGCCTCTCTGCTTGGTTGTGATCTCTGTCAAATAAATAAATAAAATCTTAAAAAAAAAAAAAAGAAGTGTTAAAACTAATCCTCTTAAATCCTGCTTGTTAGCCTCTTTCACATAAATTTTATTGCTGTTCACATACATTTAACATAACTAGTCTAATTCAGAAACATGGGGAGATGCTGAATATATTTTTGTGCTCTCATTTCTGCCCAGGTCTGATGCCTCTATGCTAATTCTGTATCCATCAGGGATGATTAAAAAACAAAACAAAACAACAAACAAACAAACTGGAGTTAAAACAGACCCCAAAGGGCATTGCTATCCCAAGCACAGACCCCATTAAGTGTCAAACAGAAACCACCATTTTATCATCCTGGTACCTGCAGCTTGACAGGACTACAAAGATAGGACTTGCCCTGGGGACAAAAGTTCTAGAATCAGAAGCTCCCAGTCCTTACCCAGCTGCCACTTGCGGGAACACATGGTCTCCATCATCCAGATGGGCAGGGCTGGCTCCAGCATGGCAATCCCCATGTTTGCAAAGCAAATGGACCCTGCAAGGGAGGAAGAGGGTTAGTGTGCTTCTATTTTGGGTCTTGAGCATCTCTGATGCCAAACACAGTTAAACCCCACATGCTGGGGCGCCTGGGTGGCTCAGCAGGTTAGAGCCTCTGCTTTCGGCTCAGGTCATGATCCCAGGGTCCTGGGATTGAGCCCTGCATTAGGGTCTCTGCTCTACAGGGAACCTGCCTCCACCCTCCCCTCTCTCTGCCTACTTCTCTGACTACTTGTGATCTGTCTGTCAAATAAATAAATAAATAAATCTTTTTTTTTTTAAATAAATAAATAAACCCCATATGCCCACAAACAAACAATCCACTGGGAGGCCCAGAACTTCTACTTTTGTGAGGAAAAGATAAATAACGGGTCAAGGGGAGAGTGAGGAGGTTGGGTTTATTATTACTATCATCACCATTACTAAATAATAATAAAATATTAAGTTAAATCTATTAAAATGAAATACTAATAACTAAAATTAAATATTAAATTTAAACAAAGTATTAAGAAACGTTGTTTTCCAACTAGAATCCCAGAGTCATAAAGGAATTGGAGGGAGTCTCAGAGGTCATCTGAGTACCAATCCCAACCTACTGATGAAGGAGTTCTTTTTTTTTTTTTTTAAGATTTTATTTATTTATTTGACAGAGAGATCACAAGTAGACAGAGAGGCAGGTGGAGAGAGAGGAGGAAGCAGGCTCCCTGCTGAGCAGAGAGCCCGACGAGGGACTTGATCCCAGGACCCTGAGATCATGACCTGAACCGAAGGCATCGGCTTAACCCACTGAGCCACCCAGGCGCCCTGATGAAGGAGTTCTAATCCATTAGCCAAGTAACTTGCCTGAGGACACCCACCAGTGTGGGCCACCCCCAGACCACACCAGACCCCAGCAGCTGGAGGCTCCTGAGCCTGTTTTACTGGGCAATGAACACAGACATCTCTAAAGATGCTTGGGATGTCCCCAAACCCAGTGCGTTCAGTACAGATGGGCTGTTGAGGGATTTTTTTTTTTTTTAATCAACTAACCCTATAGGGTATTTCTGCAACTATCCATCACCGCCCTGTTAACCAGAACCCTTGGTAAAGGTAGAGCCATCAGGGAAGAAACCTCCCCCGCGGTGCTGGGAGCTTCCTGGGCCGCGTCCCCGGGAACCTCTAATTTGCCAGAATCCTGAGTCAAAGAACATTGTGCAACGGTGATTAAGGAGCTCACATAATGAAGAAAGGGGTTTTCTTAATGCATCTTGACGTTAGAGATGGAACACAGAAAGGATGCGGACATGACTGGCTCCCGTCACCCGCCCGCTGTCTTCCCAGATTCGCAGTTGGTCTATTTGCTGTCTGTTAAGTAGGGTCAAACTGATAGGGTCGTTACATCTCCCCTGTGACTCAGAGCCCATACTCTGAACCCATCCTTGTCCACCTCTCACACAGCAAACTGACACCCCGGCCCCAATCCTCCCCAGGGCCAGGCGCCAGGCACCCGGAGACGGCCCCCAGCCCCAAAGCCTGCCCATCCCCAGCTGTTCTTCCAGCCCCGCCTTGCCCTTCCCATGCCAACCTCTGGCCTAGGCAACCTGCTGCTTCCCCGGGGGCCCTGAGTGGCATGGTAATAAAATGTTCCTTTCACTAGCACTGATCTCTCTGGGTCATTGCTCAGTCACCTTCATAAGTTAAAATCCCACCAGAACAAGTAAGATAGGCCTGGCCCCCAATCCCTCTGCCGAGGCTGCCCGGGGATGCGGAGATGCGGTCACCCGATAGTGCGGGATGGATCTTTCCTCCCTGAGCCAGGGTGAGGCGGTGAGGGTCAAAGAAAGACCCAGGCAGTGGGTGCTGGGCTGCAGGGAATCCTCTCTCACCACACAACAACTCACTCCACCCGAGACAGCCTGGGCTCCATGGGCGTCTGGGCACTGGAACGGTCCCCTCATCATGCTGGGGACACAGAGAGGTCCCCTGCATAAGGAAGTCACACCAGGTTCGCAGCACTGGCACCAGCTGGCCTGATGGAGAGGGTCTAGACCAGGGTGACACAGGTGCCCCCCAACCAAATCCAGCAGCAGAAGGCCTCAGTGAAGCCGGCCTGGGGCATGACGAGGCTGAACCGGAACGCTCGCAGGTAGGGCACCGTCCAGCTCAGCCAGATTCCCACAGCGCCAGCCGTGCCCGTGACCGCTGCTTAGACCAATCTCACGCTAACCGCATCTAATGCTACACTTCGGGGCTGATCTCCTGACCGACCCCAACGGCCGCTGCCGACCAGGGTGCAGGCCCAGGCAGCAGAAGGCCAGCCCCCTGCCAGGCAGTCCCAGGCCCCCCTCACGGAGAGGGTCTTGGCAGGACTGCCTCTTGGATGAATGAGGCCCATTATCCTCCCACAAACCATAGAACCGGGCTTCCTCTGAGCCCATCTAGGCCAAGACCCCCAAGCTGGGACCTTCTGTAGACAAAGGGGGTTTCCCAGCAGCCTCCCCAGTGCTGCACAGTGTGACGGCTCCACGGGAAGGGAGCTGTCCTCTGGGGCTCTGCCGTCAGCCTTCCTCACGCACGGCCAGGTCAGTCAGACTGCCCACCCACAAAGCCTGCAGTGAGGCCATGAACTCCTTCCTGAAGTTCAAGGCCCAACAGTGACAGCCACCGACACAAACAAAGCTCTGGGTCAGGGCATCTCCGTGACCTAGACCTCTTTGCCGCAAATGAACACCAGGAGAGGAACTTGGCTGAGGGTCGGAGATTAATGGTAGAAGAAAGTCATTCCTTGTGATGCATGTAGAGCCCCTGGGCTGCTCACGACTCTCTAGGGCCCAGCGTTCCCAGCAGCAAAGTGGACACTGGTTCTCACCATCCACCCCCCACGCCTGGGTGGAGAAGAATAGGGGAGACTGAGGGGAGTTTCACCTGCAGCGATGAGGATATACGGGTCCTGCAGCAGAGTGGTTAGCGGCGTCCCCTTCTGGCTCTGTCAGCAGAAAACAGGGGTTAGAAGAGTGGATGTGGCCACCGCCGCACCCTCCTTCCCCAGGGGCTTACCTCTGGCTGGACCCGGGACGGCTGGAGCACAAAGAGCTGAATAGCTACGAGAGGGCGGGGAGGGGGAAAAAAATAAAGAAAAGAAAAGAAAAGAAAAGAGATAAAGAAAAGAAAGAGGTGTGGGCACAAGCACCTGCTGAAATAGGTCACCTGCTGACACAGGTCACAGCTGCCAAGGTCATGGCCAAGGTGCCCACATGGACTCACCTCCGTCCAAGAGTACCAGGGCAGCCAGCACCAGGAATGGAGCGGTCTTCCCCACAAACTCGTAGAGCACACTCCCAAAGGGGGGGCCCACTACAAGGAAGAGAAAGAGAGGCTGGCGCCAGTCCCTGGGACTGATCCCCGCCCCCCCCAACTCCACCAGAACCATCCATTTGTTTCTTGAGTTTGAGTCTGTACTTTGTTCCAAAAACTATTTGGGCTGACCACCCTACATTCTATTCAGGTCAAGTTGCCCTGGCAACTTCCTCCAAGCGGTTCTATGCCCAAGACATGGGCAAGAGCATATCAGGGTCACCCCAAAAGTGAAGACCAGAGAGAAACCAGACCCAGGCCACACAACTGTGCTGCTTTAGGAGCACAGGAAAATGGATCAGCGAGAACCTTGGTCCTTATCAACCAGCATGGGCAGAACTTTCGGCTCCCAAGTGAAGCCCAGGAATGCAACAGAGAAGGGGGAGGACCCAAGTCTCCTCTCGGCCAGCCAGGACAGGGGGAGAGACAGACTTGGAAGGTAGCAAGGTGGGAAAATTCCTCGGGTGGGATGGTAACTCAGAGAATGCCCAAGAGAAAGGAGTTTTGCAGACTGTCCTGTTTCAGCCTTCATTTTACATCTGGACCGGTGAAGGTCTGGGATTTGTTTTTTGTCCAAGATCACCCAGCAGGCTGGGAGGTGGAGGCAGGGGAGCCCACATCCTGGGATCCTCCCAGGTCAGGAAGGTCCCACCAGTTTTCACAGGCTCCGTGAAAGTAGGGAATAACAAGCAAACGAACTCCGAGTAGACTCAGGGAGCACTGGGGTCCTCCTCCAACAGCAGACAGGGCCGCCAGGTGCCCTTGCCCACCTAGCACCCCCATGGCCAGGCCTCCCAGGGCTATGCCCATGGCGTTGCCTCGCTCTTCGTCATCCGTGTACACACTGGCCAGCATGCCCATCCCTAAACAGGAGAAGAAACGGTCAGCAGTCAAGCTCTCCAGGGAGCACCAAAATAAATCATCTGTGACTCACCACCCTCCCTCTCTGACCCAGACCTGTGATCTCCCAAATCGGCCAGATTCACAGAAATGGAAGACCAAGCAGAAGCCAAGGAAAAACCAGTACCCTCCCTAAGCACCCCTCCCCGGGCACCATCACTAGTCTCATGATTCCCTACATTATTCCAGCTAATTCTGCAAGGGGCTGGCCAGCCGGGGCAAGGCTGATGCCCCCGCCCTGCCCCAGGGCCCTGACTTACTGGGGTTTTGCACACCTACCGGCTACCGACGAGCAGGAGGAGCCGATGCCCTGTAGCGACCTGGCGATGAGCAGGAAGGCGTAGCTGCTGGAGAAGGCGAACACTGCCAAGGGAGCGGCCCAGCCGTGTGTCAGTGCCAAGCTGACACCGGGACCTCCCACCCCCAGCTCGCATGGGCATGTGAAGCCAGCCCTAACCTGATGGCGCTTTTGTGCCATGAATAGCTCGACTGACCCCCTTCTGCAACTGTGGCCAATACACAACACCCTAACCCCAGGGTTGCAGCCTCGATTCCCAGTGTGGGGTCCTCGGAGCCCATCCCATGACCCGCGCGCAGAAGGCAAACAGCAGACACTTACTAATTGTTGACACAAACATGATGCAGAATCCCGCAAACATTGGAATTGGGTAGCCAATTCTGCAAAAGAGAAGCATGGGGAACGTTTGGTAACCTTCTGTATTTTTCTAAGGCTTTATACGGAGTCTCTCCTGCCTACCCTTTGGGATCAGGCGGATAAGTGTTTGGTCAACTTTTCTGAAAATTCATATAGTTGGTGCTTCCTATGTGACCTTTCCGTGTTTGACTACCTCAAACGTGAATACATTTCACGATTGCCAGTCTGAACAGAAATTTCTCTGCAATAAATGTTAACACAATATTGGCAAGTAACACAGAGCATGTCTAAAATATACAACCCTGGCTCCCATCATTTTTTTTAAGTTCTTTAATTAATTACTGTCTTTGCTAGAAATTCTCTAAAGGGACAGTGGCAACCGAATGAGTCCAGTAAAAGCTCATCAAGTGATTCAACTGGCGGCGGAGACAATGGGACTACATCTCAGAGGCACTGGGATGCAAGAAAATATTCGAGTCTATCTCCACATCGACCTCAATGGGACCAGCCTAGAAAAATAGACCTCATTTTCTGTGCAAAAATTCAACATCCTGATTCCTCACAAAGACCACGGTCCATACAGGGCTCTGCCCCTGGGGTGGACAGGGGCAGTGGGAAGACCCTGCCCGGTCTTTGGGTATCACACCGGCCCACCCATGGGAGCCGAGCTGGCCACCGCCCACCTGACAACGCAGGAGGGAGGACAGAATGAGATATGGATGAGCAACTGCTACCAGGGGACACAGAAGAGGCTTCAGAGAGTGTTTCCTCCCTCACTCTCTTCCTTCTTTCCTCTCTGTGCCTATAGTCAAGCAGACTGCTTCGTTCCTGCTGTATGGATGGGACAGTAGGGTGAAGGCAGCTTCTTGGTCCCTGCTGCCCTGGGAGGGGTTCAACGCTGGCTGAGCAGCCGTCCTCAAGGCAAAACAGCCCAGAACATCTCCAGGCTTTGTGTCCTCCCACCCCCAGACCTTCCCACCCCCAGACGCTCCTGGACAGGAACCAAGTGAGGACCAAGGAGTCTTGAGTCCGCAGCCACTCAGCCTGGAAGGGCTCTTCTCTTCCAGGCTTGACTAAAAAATCAAGGTAACAATACCTTCATTTAAAGTTACACTCAATTCTCCAAGCGCTTATGCCCACCAGCTCAATGATTTGATAAGGGCAGATGACCCCCTCACCATCTCACAGGTGAGGAAAGAGAGGCAGGAAAAAGTGACTCGTTGAATGTTCTGGGGCTCATTTCACTCGGGACCATCCTACCCAGTCCAGGGCTTTTCCCTGCAAACTTCACCACCTCCCCCAGGAAGCCAAAGGACGTATGTGGCTTTAAATAGAATCTTTCCAAAAGTTCCTGGTCATACTCCCCCACCCCACCCAAAACACACACACCTTTTTTTTTTTTTAACTGCTTCATGTGCTCCAGAAACTAGCAAAAATACAAATAGCATCTCAAAATCATGCCAGATTCCCAGACAGCCCTCCTCCTACTGTCCCATGCAAAACTTCCCTTACTATGACCCAAGATGAGCTTGTAATTCACCAGGTGGGGCTCAGAGCCAACCAGGCAAACAGCAAGGATGCCAGCTTGAAACAGCAGCTCAGATGGGCATCAAATGGAAGGGTCTCTAACCTCAGCAAGCCTAGAGCTGGCTGCTCTGTGCTCTTTACTCACTTAGGCAAAAGAACCCCATTTACAATCCCAAGCCCTACACAGCTCTGCTGGATACTGAATAAAGAAACTTCCAGGAGGCTCAGAGAAGAGAACTCATAGGCAGTTCATTTTTCCCAGCAGCTCCTCTACACCTTGGGGAAAGAATGGAATATGGCAATGCTCGTAGCTGCCCTAGAATAAACACAGGTTTCTCTGCCCCTTTCAACACACTCCTTGGAAAACTGTATTTGTCAAAGCTGGTGGAAATACCAGAGCCACGATGCTCAGTCTGCAGCACTGATAACTGGCCAAGGCCACCTGGCAGGACACATCTCGAGTAGCTTCTTACCAGGAGGCTCTGGCATTCCCAAGGCCATAAGTAGGAAGCTGACGAGGGGGTCCCTTGTGATTCTCACTGCAGCTCCGTGAGGTAGCTGGCAGGACCCTCATTTTTCAGATGACTACATTGAGGGCTAGGGAATCTAAGTAACTTGGCCCCAAACTTAGGATAACAGGCCTATGTTGGGTGCCTGGGGTGCGTTCGGTCCTGCTGGCACACAGACGTCCGTTACAGGAGCGTGGGATCACACCGCATGGGTGGAATGGTTGGTCTACAATTTAACAGCAGGGAGCTCCGTGCCCACAGGGATATGTGCTTATATAGGATTCTTGATCCCAAACCCAGGTGCTGCGTTTGCCTTAAAACCACTGCAGCTATGGTTTTTTTGTTCTTGTTTTTTTTTTTTTAATCCCTTTGGCATTTTAATAAGCACATAGGGAATAACCACATGGCCAAACTGGAAAGAAACTCAAAGGCTGGCCAGTCCAAACCCTCATGCTGGATGAGAGAGCGGAGGTTCAAAGACAGAGTGGCTCACCATGGTGACAGATTGAGCCAACCATTCCGGATACCCCGGGCTCACGCGTTTCCTTCCCATTACCAGACACTCATGCCCTCTATACCTTCAGTGCCCACCAGACCTCTAATTGTGCTTCCCAGTGGAAAGTACTAAGCAGCATCTCTGCCCCGGGGCTCAGCCCCAAGTCAGCAGGACACAATGGGCACATCCTGGAGCCCTCCACCTTCCAATTCTTCTGCCCCAGCCCCCTCCCCAACCAACGCCCACCTCTGAAGGAAAGTTGTCCAGGGCCCCAGGGTCACTGAGTGATGGGCAGATCACCAATGCCCTTTCTCCTTCCCCACAATGTCTCCTAAACAGAGACTCAAGTGACATTAGTCATGAAGATCTGAGTCAGTCTCTCATCTCAGCACTCAGCAGAGCTACATCTGATACAGCAAACCTTTGGCAAAATATCCCATTACTCTCCCCTTATGCGTCATCCCAGCCCACGGCCATCCTCTATAGGGCATCAGGGAGCAGTTAATCCAATCGAAATAAGACTAAGAGTCATATATTGAATCCCCAGGAAAAAGTGCAAAGCAATAAAAGTTATGTTCATTATATATACCTACGCACCAGTGGAGAAACTCCACAGTCCCTAAAACATCACGGAAAATCAATACCTTTTTCTTTAATACAACTAGCTTATCTTTGCCATAGAGACCAATGCAAGCCCAATTCTCAAGGCTGTTAAAACTCAGGCTCCCTCTCCCTGACACAGAGTAGGGGACCCAGAAGAGTACAAACGATGTCAGATGAGATAAGAGGTGGCATCTCCCTTTTCAATGATGTTCTGAAAGGTGGCACAGTAAACTTCAGGAAAGAGAGGGACGCCTTACATTTGCTGAAACGCACTAGACGGCTGACGTCCATCATTTCATAGGCAAAAAAAATTCTTAGGTTTAGTCCTTAGGTCTGTCTTGCTCAGCTATGAGATGCACGCAGTGAGGGACGTAAGCGGGGGTTTCTGACTTTTGTGGGGGTCACCCCTGTTCCCTGCCACACAGCTCAAGTGGGGGCTCGGCTCCTGTGAGAAGCCCCCGATTTCACAGCCAGCTTCTCTCCATTTCAGAAGCGAAGGCTCGGTCACCCCATCCTAACAACATCTAGGACGGGAGATCCCTTTCCAGAAGAGCTGGTTTCCCTGTCCGCAGAGGAACTGAAAAGGTCACTGCTTATTCCCGCAAAGCCGACTGCAGACCAGTGGCTGAAGCGAAAGAGAAAAGAAGCACCCGCCTTCTGTGGCCACTCCGTGCCCTGCGGCTCCCTTCTTGTCATTCAGATGTGGACTAAGATTTGTGAGGACAAATAACCGGCTTTCAAAGACACGAGGTAACTATGGAAATAAATTAAGCCACTGATGCTGGCTTGATAAAAAGCAGACCAGGGAGCGGAGGAGGACTGAGGGAGGAAGGCAGGGGCGCTGCGCCCCAGCACCCCAAGTTAATGCTTTCCCCAGCCATCCAGTGCATCTGGAATAGCTCTTGGTTCTCGAGAGGCAGCTACTACGGAAGCGAGGGGAGACCATGGCGCCCCGTTCTTAACCCGATTTGTGGAGAGAGACATAAAGGTGCCGTTATGGTGTGTGTCTACCTGGAACTTTCCCATTAGGTCTGCATATGCCTCAGTTTCACTCACTGGGCTAGAGGACAACAGATGCTAGCTGAATTCCTTCTACCCCTCCCTTGACGCAGAGCTGCTATCGCGAGATGAATAAATGGAATCAGAAGACACACGAGCCTCAAAGATAAAAATCAAGTCAACCAAGGCGCATGGAACCCGCGGGCTTTGGAAAGTGTGCTGGTGGATATGCAAGCGCCACCCTTGCCAAAAATCAAAGGTCCTCCGTTCCCTCTCTGGGCACCCGTTTTCCAGTAAAAATATAACACCTGAAGATGAAATCAAACAGGAATAAAACTTGCATATTAGCAACCCAATGGGCAATTAACCATTTCTCAGGAAGTTTCATTTGTTACTTTCAGGGTTTGGAAGGAGGGCTCTTAGCCAATACCTACAACAGCAGACAGGCAGCCCGCCTCCCGAGTCACCAGCCCCTAGAACCACTCAGACAGAGGCATCTTGACCGTGAGTAGGAGGGTCCGGCGGTGACATGTGTGAGAGGTGGGTCCCAGCTGCAGCAAAGGGCTCCAGAAAGGAGAGGTTCCAATCAGCCTCGCCGGAGCTTCCCTAGTCTTTGGGGATGTAGGAGGCCTTTCGTTTCCCCACTATTAGAAGCACGGCAGACATGCTGGAAAGCAGTGCCAGATCCCACCAGGGGCTAGAAAAAGATTTCTTTTTCTATGGGAGAGTCCATGTCCAAAAAGAACACACACTGGTTTTTTCTAAACTCCCCACTCGATGATTAAAAACAGCCATCACAGGGCACCTGGGTGGCTCTGTTGGTTAAGTGTCTGGACTCTTGCTTTCAGCTCAGGCCATGATCTCAGGGTCCTGACATCGAGTCCCAGGTCGCTCTGTGCTTGGCCGGGAATCTGCTTGACATTCTCTCTCCCTCTATCCCTCCCCTAGCTCATGCGCACATGTTCTGTAATAAATAAACCTCTAAAAAAATGTATCCATCAACAACTCACTGTTTGGGCTTTCACTTTCACTGGCTCAGCCCGGTACAATCAGAGAGAGCCCAAACAGATGCAGGGAGGACAGATTTTGACGGGCACTGTTGATTCTGAGAAGTGAACTGTAAAAACTGTAACTCACCAAGCAGGTGGAAAGAACAGGAAGGGAAGAAGACACCCAGACAGAGAGTCCGGTCACTGGCTCTACCCTGTGCTGCCCGGGGCGGATGTCTTCTCTTCCTGAGCCGTAAACTGCTTTCCCTACAAAATGGTAGGAAGGGCCCCAAAGCCCTTGATCGCGTCCCCTCCAGCTCTGAGGCTCCAGGCTTTTAACCACTCTTTCCTTAATCAGAAACATAATAACCAACTGTAAAATACTGTATTAAACATACTTGTTCACAACCCTGAAAGTGGGAGTCACACAACTTGTTCATAATTGAAAGTGCAGTTGGCACAAATCACATCAAAAGACTATATCCTCCGCAGACGCTCACCAGGGCAAGTCCTCTAAAGCAAGTGGAATGGATCCATCTCTGAGCAGAGCTGTGGGGCACCCAGAAATGCCGCAAGTCCCAAAATTCGTATCTACCGGGCTTGGGAAATATTGAAAAATGCACAAAAACCAGGGTCATTTTGGAGGGACAATCGCTACATCAATATTACAACTCGTTTGCGTTTCCATATCATAGGGCAGCACTAGAGAAGCTTTTCAATTTGCTGGGTAGCTGGGGGAACCCATTAGGGATTACAGGTTTGCTCTAAACTGCAAAGTGGATTACCCATCATAAGAATAGACCAAATTTCACAGGTCACAAAACAAAATTAGGTTTCCCTTGGAAGGCTTTTTTTTTTTTTTTTTTTTTTTTTCCTTGAGCCCCAAACAGGAGCCTTGGGTGGCTGCAGTCTCAAAGCCTTTGGAGTATTAATAGGGGAAAAGGTCTCACTGGCTTTAAACAAGCTTCTTCCCCAGGGTGTAAGCAAAGCATTAAAAACAAGAATGGGATTCTTAAAAAAGCTTTTCATTTGCCATTTGCATGTGGATGATTGAACGCTCATGCCAGTTTCTGAACACTGTGTTACACTCCTCAGCTAGTACGACTGGTGCCCAAGTGATTGGCAAGGCATTATTACAGTAATGTCTTCAATTTTGTTCATATAGCCTTTGAGCTGTTTGCTTTCTCGGAACACAAAACCCAGAGACGTGTTCTGTAATTACACCAGATGCATTTTAAGAAGCACTCTTGGAGGTGGAGAAAAACAACCCTGCGATGGCTGTTTGGCTTTCCTCCTGAAGGAGAAGGACACTTCCAAATGGCGCCTTGATAACCCTGCTTCGAGGTGGGCTCCCAGGCAGCCCGTCCTTGCGAGGCTGCCATGCTCAGCCTGTGTTAACCCAGCAGCTCCATAACGCTGCTTGACACAGACTGAGGGGGGGGGCATGGGTGGGGCCTGGGATTGTTAAAATTTATTCAGGGGCACCACTACCCCGTCCAGAGAGTCAGGCTGCAAAAGCTTAAAATGGGCTTCCAGCCAAGTGGCCACCGGTAGGTGACGGTAACGTGTGTGCACGTCTCGGGGCTGCCTGTGGGGGGTGGGGGGAGCCAGATCCGCCTCTCTGAGCCTCTGCCACCACCCCGGGGCCCCCCCACTCAACAGACCTCCTCTTCTCTGTCCCAGAGCCGGCCCCACTCTCACAAGGGCCCTGTGCTTGCTTTAATGCCGTCGTTACAGTCTCGAGATGCTCAATAATATTTGAACAAAGGGTCCTGCAAGTAACATGTCCGGGCCTGTTTCTCCTACTGCAGACCAGAGCCTAGGTCAAGGTAAAGATGTCCCTGCTCCCAGCCTCCACGGGGTGCCAGGCTGACCTACTGCAAACTGTGCTTGGCTCCCAGACTCTTCAACTTGGCTTTGGAACCTCTAGTGGCTCGCAAGTGTCCCCTAACCCTGAACAAAACCCCCCTCCTCTCTCGGCCTGGCCCTTGGAGTCTCTTCCTGCCTTGCCCTGACCCACCCCGCTTGCCTTGCCTTCCTTATTCAGAGCCCACCCCCACCCCCCAGGACTCCAGGCACTCCCCGCTCTACCATTTTCCTGCCTTGAGGGCCTCGGTGAGCGTATGGCAACCCACCCGCCCCCACTCGCACCATGCCAGCTCCCCCGCTTTGCAGCCAACGTCCGCAGGGGCTGCCTCTCCCTTTTCTCAGCAGGCCCCCCATCCTCAGCATTGAGCCCCCAATGCACCAGGCAGAGCTGGGCCACCTTGGCTGTAGAATACCAGCCAGGTGGCCACTGACAGTGGAAATGAGAACAATTATTCAAAATTAGGAGATGGTTCAAAGAAAAAAAAATCCAGAGCATCCAGATTAACCTAAAGCTAGCTTGGGGCATTATTTGGGGCATTACTGGCTGGTTTGACTTATCCAGAAAACAGCCTCGCTTTTCTCTTTGTGCATGTGGACCCAGCTCAGTAACGGGCCGGGGAGCTGTTTACACTTCCCATGGCCTCAGCATTCTAGAAGATTCCATCTACTTAGCAGGAATACTGGTCTTTCTTCACATTCCCCACATCCCACACCCCATCTTCAGGCTTCACCACGTCAGCTGGAAAGCAAACCACCCTGGCTCCCTACAGGGAAGTGGATGACCCGAGGGAGAAGACCAGACAAAGCCGAGTGACACACAGAACCCAATGACGATGCCACGGCGTCTGCAGAGATCCTGCTGCCCCAGGGCGAGTCTGGCAACCGCACTAATGAAATCCGGCATTTAGACAGAATCCGACTTCTCCCACTTGGGGAGGGTCCCTTTATTCTCCTTCAACAGTTTCTTACTTTCTGACCAACAGAGGGGACAACAAATGCGAAATCTTGATGAAGGAAAGAAACAAAAGGAAGAGGAGATGGAGTCTCTCCCCAGCTCACCCACCACCACTGGTTTTCTACCTTCTGATGAGTGAACAAGGAACAGAACCTCAGGGAGAAATAAACTGGGAACGATAGAAATATAAACCCCTTGGCCAGGGATGCCTGGGTGACCCCGTCGGTTAAGCCTCCCGCTCTTTCTTCGTGCTCAGGGTCATGAGATCAAGCCCTGTGTGGGGCTCTGCACTCAGTGCCGAGTGGGCTTTGGATTCTTTCTCCCGAATCCCCCTCTGCTCCTCCTCACATGGGCGCACATGCGCTCTCAAATAAATAAAATCTTTTTAAAAAATTAAAAGCAAAAAAACCCTCCTTGGCCCAAATAACGGAGCCTACCTGTTGGTCAACATTCCTATGAAGGGATTGGTGAGGAGTTGGACGGTGGCTTTAGAGGCAAAGAGCAGGCCCACTTGCACGTTTTCGTTCAGGAGGTCCTTGTCCTCGCTGGGACAGTCCGAAGGCGCAGTGGAGGTGTTCGTCACCGTGTGCTGCGTGGCGGCCGGCTGTAGCAGCCCCCCGTGAAGCTCTTGGGTGCTATTCCCCGTGACCATGGTGGCGTTGTCATAGTAAGAGAAGATGCTCTCGAAGCTGCCTGAGGTGGAGGCCGTGAGCACGGGCTTGGCGGTCTGGACCTCGGAGCTATTTTTCTCATGATTAATGCTGTACAGGTAGCTGGGGATGATTGGGACTGTGGACAAAAACACAACAGGGAGGCTGCGACTGCGAGGAACCTCCCTCCCCGGGTCAAAGGGCTGCAAAGCTACGGGTGCATCAAATGCCACACGAGGCCCAGACAGGTCGGCCCCTGGGAGGGGACCCCCGTGCCGGCCCTGGAAGGACAGCACGTTGCTGAGCTCCGGGGAGAAAACAAAGCCCCAGGACGCTGTGAGAGCTCCGTCTGCTCTCGGGACCAGCTCCTGTGCAGAAGGGACCTGCCCGGGATTCTGCGCCAATGTGGGGCTGCTCCTTGGTGGTGTTCCCTCCCAGGAATAGGTTAGGAAAGCAAAACGGGGTCTGAAGTCGGTTCAGGGCTGAACTGGGGGTCAACGAGAGCTCTTCAGAGAGAGGCTCCGAAAGACCTTTCAGTCAATGAAACCAGAAAATAGAAATCAAAATTTCATTATGTGACTTAGGGGAAGATAAACCTACAGGAAGTAATAATTTGGAAATTCTGCAACAGGCCTGCTTCATCTACGATTTGAGTGGGAGTCCACAATTTCTCATACAACCTAGAAAATGTAAAAATTCCTGAGACTTCTATAAAGGCAAAGGAAAATTGATGTAAAAGCAGCCGTGGGCATGTGTAGGACAACAGATCATTCAACACAAAGGAGAGGCAAGGTCCTTGTTACTGAACTCCAAGGAGCCCCACTACTCTGGTAATCCTGGAGGTGAGAACGGGCAATGGAGAGGAGGGGAATAACCCACGCCTGAGAGTCTGAATTAAAAAATATATATATTCATTAAAAATTTGGACATTCTAGGCCCCGCATCAGGCTCTCTGCTCAGCAGGGAGACTGCCTCCTCCTCTCTCTCTCTGCCTGCCTCTCTGCCTACTTTGTGATCTCTATCTGTCAAATAAATAAATAAAATCTTTAAAAAAAAAAAAATTTGGACATTAAGGAAAAACGCACCAAACCCTCTGCTATTAATGGGGCTAATTAAGAGACCTGGATTTTAATTGTTTTTCAAAAATCCACTATAGGGAAAAGACTGAAACCAACACTGTTCAAATTGCTTTTGAAAAGATCCTGAAACGTTCCCATCTCCAGCCACCCATGGATAAGATATATTTACATGTCACTTCCTTCTTTGCAGGGAGGGATGTTGACTTGTTCCTTTAAATGTGAGGTCGAATTGTTAACCCACCTTGCTGGCCGGCACAATAATTATTGTAACATTATTTTGAACACCGGGGACCGGCGGGTTCTTAGTAGGAATCTTTCTCATCGTGGTCTAAGTAGGCAGGGGGAAGCAGGAAATTATCAGGAGGAAACACAAGTTCTGGGTCTTAACAGATGCCACTTTCTTTGACCTGACCACCAGAAAAACGAAGCCACCAAAAAAAAAAAAAAAAACCACAAACCAAAAAAACCCACCCAGAAGCCACAAAAGGCGGCTGCAACTAGCCCAGGGCGGCAGACTTGCGAAGGGGAGGAAGGAGAGGTTTTTGCAAAATGTGTTCTCCGACTTTCCCGGAGCGCGCTCAGGTGGGAGTGGCGGGGCGGGGGGACACCCAGGGAAGGGGTCTCCGGGGCAGGGGCCGCCCAGTCCGTACGTACCCACGACGGTGAGCAGCATGTTGTCCAGCAGCAGCGCCAGGAACACGATGAACAGGATGAGCTTCCGCGAGTGACGGCTCTCCAGCAGCCAGCGGAGCAGCGCCAGCTCGCTCAGGGCCATGGCTCGGTGGCTGGGCTGCGGGCGCGGCGCGCGGTGAGGGGCCGCGGCCGGCCGGGGCGCTCCCCGCACCCGCAGCTCTCAGACCTCCTCCGGGCAGGAGGAGCGGCCCCCGAGCTGCGCGCCCCGGCGGCGCGGGCGGGTCCCCGACGTCCCACTCTCGGCTCACCTGCGGCGGCGGCGTCCTCCGGGCACCTGCCCTCCCGCTCAGGGACGCCCGCGGGCGCCGTCGGGGCCCGAACCTGGGGCCCGCGGGCTGCCGTCCCGCTGTCCGCCGCCCCCGAGGTCCTCCTCCTCCCATCGAGCGCTCGGGAGGCGCCGCGGGACCCCGCGCCCAGTGCGTCCGGCGCCCCGGCTCGCCCCGGAGACCCACGCGCGGCGCTGGCGTTCGTCCCCACTCGCCGCCGGACCCCGCTGTCCCCGCGCCGCCCCGCCTCCCCCGTTACCTCGGAGTCGCCTGCGGCTGCCGGCCCTGTGCCGTGGGCTCCGTCCGTCCGCGCGGCTCCGGGTTGCGTCTCCGCCCCAGCGCCCCGCCGCCGCCGCCGCCGCCGCCGCTCACTTTACCCGGTCCGGCTCTGACGTCACGGCCGCCGGGGGCGGGAGGGCGCCACCTTCCAGAACCGGCCTCGGCCCGCCGCCCAGACCTGCGCTGGCCTCCGGGGATCTGCATCCGAACCATCCCAGGTGGCCTGGGTGACGTGGCTGGGGGCCAAGGGAAGAAGTCAGGGGCCTCAGAGCGAGAGGTCAAGGGTCCTGAGGTTAAGGTCAGAGCCAAGATTACAGCTTTCACCCCCAGGAAGGGGCTGCAACTGCTCTTGGAGCCTCACTGCCCCTGAGATTGGTCTTGAGGACATGAAGGCTGCTGGATGAGAGTGCCAGGGAAAGGGGTCACGGGGTGTTGGGAGACAGGGACACATCTCTTTCCAGGGAAGCCACTCAGCACCCCACCAGTCCTCTCCTCTCCCCCCAGGAGCATGAAGCAGGGTGCCACTTGGAGCCTTTGACCGGCAGGTCCTTGGGTCCCCTCAGGTTGGGGTGGGGAAACAGGAGGAAAGGGGACACCTCCCACAGTCACCCCCCAGTGGGAGAGGGGACAGAAGACTCCAGCCCCAGAGCCTAGGACTCAGAACTTAGGAGCAGGGTCCTGGGCCTCTGGGGCCAGCCAGAGCATGTCACCCTGAATAGGGGATACCAGAGACCAGGTAGGTACCTGGCATTTTAGTAAAAGGACTGCAGAGGCAGCTGGCCCCACCCTGTATGCTCTAGTCCTCTACGCTTTGTGCTAGACCGAGGGGGAGAGGAGGTTTGGGGCGGGGGTCGTTCTGGTTAAGACAGGCACCAGTGCCTGTGGGATCACAGGAGCTGTAATCCTCACTTCCAAGGGGTAAGGACCCACCTTTGATTTCCAAGTACCTCCATTTTATAAGCAGAACAGAAACAGATGTCCTGACACCGCTGCAGCTTTGGAGACCCTTCTAGAGGGTGAAAGGAACCAGTGCTATTTTCTTGGAAAGCCACTTAAAATAAATGTTACCCTCCTGTGGTCTCCTAACCGTGGAGCCCAGCCTTGTTTTATTAATGTCGACCTATTGTCAGCTGGAGGCTGCTTACAGCAGTGGGGGCGGGGGGGGTGTGATGCTCCCCTCTCTCTCCTCCTTCCTCCCATACACCCCCATGCTGCCCCTGATGTATGAGGAAGATGGCTGGATAAGTAAGTAGGTCAGTAACATGGGGACTCCGGGAGGTCCCAAGATGTGTCGACTGAAATATTAAACAGGGAGAGAAGGAAAGCCACTTAGGAGGAGAGAGCGGATGGCAGGGAGCCGTGTAGATGGCTGTGGACTGTATCACACTCGTGCAGGGCCCCCAAGTGCCTGGAGTTTCAGAACCCAAAGACATAGACTCTGCCCCATGCGCCCTTGGGCAGAGACGTGTCATGGTAAAGGGTTCTGGTCAGGATGCCTGGGTCCCGTCTGCTACTTCCTTGGTAGGTGATCTTTGGCAAATTATGTAGCCCCTCTGTGCCTTGGTTTCCTCATCCCTGACACAGGGATACTAATTGTGATGACTGCAGGGTTGTAGCGAAGATGAAGTTGGAATCCCTTAACAGAGTGCCCTGCACAAAGGGAGAGCTGGGTGTGTCCACCATTCATTCATCCAGTAAGGATTTATTAAGTGCTTACTAGTGCCAGGCATGATGGTTGATGCTGGGGGGACAGTAATGGTCTAAGCTGGCAAGATCACCTTTTTAGGGGTGCCTACACATGCTGGTAGCAGCGCCATGCAGGTGAACACAGGAAGCCACTCCAACTCCAGCTCCACCAGCTAGCAGAATCAGGCACCAGGGAAAATGCCACTCTCGTGCTCCCTCCCTCTGATCTTGGCCACCACCCCTGGAACACCATGCCTGACAACAGTGTCTTCAAACTCTTTTGTTGATACCCACCAAAGAATCCTTTAAAAATATGTATGCCCCACACATATTTGAGTTGGCACCTAAAATGTTTTTTTTAAATAAATTTAAATGGTTTGGGGTGTATTGTATATGTTGACCTTAATATATAAACCATCATAGCACTTATTTAAATGTGCCCAATGGAATATAAATAGTACAAGAATACAAAACCACCATATTACACTAAAAAACACAATGCAGTTCCTCTTTAAGTCAAAAAATTTACATTATGTTCTTTACGCCTGCAAAGTATATTTTCATTCCACTTCCAACAGAATTTGATCCAAATGTAATGTTTTTATCACTTAACTTCTTAATTCACCATTTTTTAGAAGATTTTATTTATTTGACAGAGATCACAAGTAGGCAGAGAGGCAGGCAGAGAGAGAGAGAGGAGGAAGCAGGCTACCTGCCGGGCAGAGAGCCCGATGTGGGACTTGATTCCAGGACCCTGAGACCATGACCTGAGCCGAAGGCAGAGGCTTAACCCACTGAGCCACCCAGGCACCCCTTAATTCACTATCTTTTCTATTATATGATATATGTAACAAATTATGAATAGGCATTAGTTTTTAAAAGTTTTTTTATGGTTGTAAGTTTTAAAATTCTCTTTACGATCATGTTATTCTAACAATCATTAGTAACATATAAATGATAAAGGCATCATACATACATGAATTTTGATAAATAATTATTATATGTATATTAGAAGGACATGACTGAATGAGATGGGGGGGGATTTTTTGGAGCCTTGACTAAACAGACCCTAACATTTCCTCTGGGTGTTTTTAAGCCAAAGGACGATAGAACACAGTAAGGTGGTAAGAATCAGGTTGGATGAGAGGTGGGCCTCTTCTTTCGCTGGTGGGGGACCAGAGATTATTGAAAGGGGAAGTGATAAAGGGGCAACCTCATGTCTCTATCTGGGTCCATCTCAGCCAGGTCAATTTTAAAATAGAGGACATGTGTAAATCGAGGGTCTCCCATGGCTTGGGAAGCCTTCATGTATATATGTGTGTGTGTGTGTGTGTGTGTGTGTGTGTGTGTGTGTGTATGTGTGACACACACACACCTAGTGTCTTGGCATTACACGTTGAAGATCCAGCCTGGGAAGCCCACTCTGGTCTGGGTCTTTTGGTCTCTACAAACTTCTCTTAGCCCACTTAGCTCTTGCCTTCCCCTTCAGCCACCCTGGCTCCTCTCAATGTTTCTCAGCCTCAGGGCCTTTGCACTGTTCCCTCCGCCTGAGAAGTTCTTCCCCTCCTTCTCCTAATTATCTCCTTCTCATTCTTTATCATCCCTAACGTCACTTCTTAGGAGAAGCCATCTTTTTGTGGACCTCACCTCCAGTATCAGGGCTTTCTCTTTCAAACCCTCATGGAACTATTACTTCCTCCAAAACTTTCCTGTCCATGAAGAATAATATTCCCATAAGTGTGATCAATTACCTCTGTGTCTCCAGATATCAGGACAAGGGACACTCTTTTTGCTCATCACCAAGGTCGCCGAACACAGGCAGTGCTCATTAAATAGCTGTAAAAAGTACATGCACTGGGCAGGGAGAGTTCCCTTCCGATGCAGAGCCATGGGAACTAGAGAGAAATCCCCTTTGCTTGAAGGGGAAGTTTCCATTCTTCTCTGTCTCCCCCACTGAAGTCCATTCCTTGAGGACCAGGCTCTGAGAAAGCCTCCTAGGAACACATTTGTTCTCCCTGGGAACTGGGACTGGTGAGCTCAGCCACCGAGCCCCCTTTACCTCCACCTGCTCCCACCCTTTCCAAACACTAGGGACTGGGAAGGTACAAAGGTAACACCAGGGTTGACTTTTTTCAGTAAATTTCAATATTTAGGAATGATAAGGCATGAATGATAGGGAGCCGCTTAGAACGAAGCAACCATTTGAAATAGGCATTGTCTGAAATAAACCAGAATGCATCTCAGCTATGGATAGCCGGGTCCTGACTGGGTCACTCTTAAAAATTATATGACTGGGCATTTACTAAACTCCTTTGCGCCTTGTTTCACATCTGTCACTCAAGCACGATAAGAGGTCCCCTCCCAGAGTTGTCATGGGGATTCAGGGAGATGATGCTTGCTTATTGCCAGGTGCACAACAGATGTTCACGCTCATAAAATATTGTCTGGCACTGGAAACAGACACACGAAAAGATGCTCAACATCGCTCATCATCAGGGAAACGCGAATCAAAACTACAACGAGATATCACCTCATGCCTGTCAGAACGGCTAAAATCAACAACACAAGAAAGATAATATTGGCGACAGTGGGGAGAAAAAGGACCCTCTTGCCCTGTTGGTGGGAATGTACACCCGTGCAGCCCCTGTCCAAAACAACAGGAAACTTCCTCAAAAAGCTAAAAATAGAACTACCCTACGATCCAGGAATCACTCTACTGGGTATTTACCCCCTAAGTAAAAAAAAAAAAAAAAAATTAATTTAAAGAGATACATGCACCCCTATGTTTGTAGCAGTGTTCTTTACCATGGCTAAACTGTGGAACCAGACTAAGTGTCCGTAGATAGATGAAGGGATAAGGAAGATGTGGTGTGTGTCTATAACGGAATATCATTCAGCTCTAAAAAAGAGTGAGATCTCGTCATTTTGCACTGACACGAATGGAGCTAGAGAGGGTAAGGCAGAGCAAAATGTCAGTCAGAGAAAGACAGATACCATATGATTTCACTCAAATGTGGAATTTAAGAAACAAAACCAAAGAGAAAAGGAGCGGGGGGGAGGCAAACCGAGAAACAGACTCTTCACTATAGAGAACATGCTGCGGGCGACCAGGGGCGATGGGTGGGGGGGGGGGGGGGGGGGGGGGGGGGGGGGGGAACACAGGTGCTGGGGATGAAGGAGGGCACCTGTGAGACACACCAGGTGGTGAATGGAAGTGTCAAGTCACTATAGTGTTCGTCTGAAACTAAATATAACACTGTTCACTATATTGGAATTACAATGAAATCAAAATTTTAAAAAGTGTTCTCTGGCATTGGAAAAGTGAGTGTGCTGCGTAACCTGGAAGGCGC